CACACAAAAAAGGAATTCTGTCCTAACAGTCCTTTGAAGAAAGATAATCTGCAGTGTGGTGAAGACATTTGAACTCAAAGTTCTAATACTGATTTCAGAAGATAAACATGGTATGAATTTGGGTAAAGAACCTTTTCTTAGTTTCTTTTGAGTGCTTCAGTTTTGAGTGACCATGTGAAACAGGTGTAAGACATTACAAACAGTTGTTTGGACTCAGTCAAAGGTGACCACAGTTGCTTAACAAAGGTGACCACTTGATAGAGAGAGAAAAAATTTCAAGACTTTGGCAACAATGTGATGGCTTAAGGTGCTGCTTTTGAGAATACAGGCTTAACTGTAAGACCATGTGTTATATTATATACTCACATGCTACTGTATTTTGGGAGGACACAAGGATAGTTTGCAAACCATGAGCCATATAAAGTGTGTTGTGGTCTTTTCATAGGATAGTTCTAGATTCATTGGTTAAAAATATGTGATCAATGTCAGTATCTAATTTTAAGCAACTGGGCACTAACCCCTCCCCTAATCCAACAAAGGTTATTTTTGGCTAGGGGAGGGGTAGGTGGGTATGTGTGCAGTTGCTCAGATACTGAAATTTATCCAATATATGATAGGTTCTTGAGCAATCAGAGTGCATGAAGTATCTTGCAGGTTGTTAAGCAATGATACATTCATTTAATGGTATATTTATGTTTTTGTTTATTTATTCATTTGATTATGGAGTTTTACCTGCTACTTTAATAGAGAAATGTTGAATATTTTATCCTAAATCGTTTTTACTAGATTTCCTCTTCCCTCTGTGTATCCTTGCAGGTATCATATCTGATGCGGCTGTTGTTAGTCTTGTGATGATGTTTATCGTTTGGGCGATGAAACAGGAAAGATTAATGCAAGAACATTCCTTAGATCTACCATCACAGTGGCTACAGTAAGTTCTCTATTCCTGCTTATTCATAAACCAAACAATTGTTATTGTCTTCGCTATTTATTTCTCTACCTCTCTTTATTGTACAACCGAAAAAATGTTTTCCTTTGTTTAATTTGAGCCCTATAGGAGGTGACTCATTGGACAGATCGTCTACATTTAACACAGAGGGTAGCGAAGGGTGGGGGGAGAATTGGGTCCTGATCCCGCACGAATGTTTGAAAAAAAATCACGGAACACGCACACTTTAAACAAAATTTCACTCGTCGCGGATTTGTAGGGGAAATTTCCAAATCTCCTTCCTTGCCTTTCTGTAAAATTCACTCGTCACGCCTCAATTTTGAGCTTAATCACGTGTTACGTGTAAACCCTTTGCCACCCTTTAGGGAAGGGCACATATTTTGAAAATGGGCAAAGCCTTGATTCTCTAACAGATAAGATAAGCGAAGATTTATTAACCCCTTTCTTTTCCTCACCTGTCTCCTCCTTCATAGCTTCTCTACTCTTTACTTTACTCAACCGCCTTAGGAAGTCTACGAAAATGGCAGGCCACAAAGTAGTATCGCATTGGTCCTGAAATCCTTTTAAATAAGGGCTCTGTTAACATGAAAGAGTTACAATAAGTACATATTAAGAACTGAGTTGTAATCATCTCCCGCCCTTGTGGTGATGGTTTATTCTTCGACGTGGGGTGATGGTAACTAGAGATTTCTCAGAAGAAAAAACTTTATGTTGTTGAAAGTACTATTAACGATATTTTCCGTGTTTTTCCGTTTGCCTCCGTAAAAAATATCTCATTTAGGATACTTCTTTTATCTATTTATTCGTTGATATATTTCTTATATGCGATTGAACACATGGGGTTCAGCTGCAAATCTTTTGTAATTTTTTTTATACCTTGCGCTTTTCAATAGACAAGTTACCGATAACCGTTCATTCCTTAAAGTATTCTTGTCGATGGCGAAAGTAAGCATAGGTATGTAAAGATGCTGCCGTTAAACTGTGAACACGAAGATATAAAATTATTGTACCTCTCATTTGGTATAAAAGTTGTTTTCAGTGAAACTTTTTTGCAAAAATGTCAGATTTTTTGTTAAAAATGATGGATCTCGGTCAGTAGGTGAGTTTCTTGCTCTATTTTTCATGTTTGTTTAACTGATTCTACGTTTTAGAAGTTTGGTTTATCGTCTCATGACCTAGATGGACTACATCCGAATAAATAGGGTGCATATAGGAAGGTCATCGCGGCTGACTAAAACACCCAAGAGCCACCTGGCTGCCGGTCACTTTGCAGACATGTGCCGGCGAGTTGACTAATTGTGTCGGCGTGTTGTCTAACTGTGTTAGCGAGTTGACACATTGTGTCGACGAGTTGACTAATTGTGTCGGCGAGTTTACATGTCAACGAAGTGTCCGTCCGGGTGGTGCCACCATTGAGGGTATGCCCTAGTGTCATATCAACTACTCTTAAGTCAGCACTATGGAGTAGTACTGGCCTATTTTCCTGAAAACCCAAGCTAAACCGCATTCTACACGTTAAGGCGTTTATCTTTAAATCGAGCTTTTGAATTTTAAGCCAAAACGACTTCCCCGACGCTTTTGCTAACTCTGTATAACAAGCTGCGAATAGCGAGAATGAACAGCTGCGCGTGATGTTCGGAACGCCGCAATGATTTCTGGTCCTATCAAGGGAGCAGTCATTACTTATTGGTCTGGAGGATCGGAGGAATTGGGGGAGGATCACGTGGTTTTCAGGGGGGTCGGAAGGGGATCAATCGTCCCCAACAGGATATAAAGGGGGATTATTGAAAAAGGGCTGCTAATTAACCGCCAATTAGTGAAGGAGGGGGGACAAAGAGAATCAGAGCCTTATGGGGGGGGGTCAGGTAAATTTTGTCGTGTGGTCGTGACACAACGAAATCTTCAACCCTCCCCCTCCTTACAGGCTATGAATGATGATCGCAGCCTATTTTTGTTTTATTTATCTCTTCGTTTCTTAATTGATTTGTTTTCATTTTTCAGCGCATGCGACGCGTGTTAAAAGAATAATTTCCTTGTTTATCTCACCCACGTGTCTTCTGTTTGCATTGGTGAGGATTGCAAGTGTAGTTGGGTTCGTGACTTTGACTCCGATTTTCATTTACCAGGAAGAGGTAAGCAGTAACACTGTACATTTCAGTGACTGCGCTCGGTTACCTTCATAGTCTGTCCAGTAAGAGTTTGAGTCGTTTCTTGTCTCAGAATGAATTTCTTTTGTTTGCTTTTATTTCAAATTAGCAATCAGAAACCTTTAGATTCGAGGATAGTATAATTGTTTTTCAACAGATCAATGCTGTACACGCATCGAGCTGCTCTACAGTTTCTTGTAAACGTTTATTGTCATATCCAGACAACAACCTCCAGCTGTTGTCAAGTTTGTCTTATCTCCACACTTGTCTGCTTGGTCATGTAACGATACTGTTAGGAGGGATTACGTAATGGTCATTAACAGTAGTGAAAGGATAATTCATGTTGTGTTTTTCTTAGGATGATAAGTACAGTACCTTACATGAAGTGGATTCCAAGCCACACAGAAAAGGTCCTAGACCTCTATATCTTCGCCTGATTATAATTTTTGTGTACACACAAGTTGTCGTTCGCACTATCGACTCTACGACAACAGACCGTCAAGACCTTAGCCAAGTCACTTCACTTAGTTACTTGTCTTCAGTGATACCTGGCATCAGGGTGTGGCGGATTATACAACTGTTATTAGTCACCGTAACCTACATTTATCAGATGTTCAGAGATGAATACGAGTGAAAAATTCGCGGGAATGTTAAGGTTCTTCACTTGAAGGCCCCAAACAGTTAAGATGTGTGTCTTCCTAATGAGAACGAAAATATAGGTATAACTGACGCAGCAAAGTTAATAATGTCGCACAAACTCCTTGGGCCCCTGATTGACTTGTGGTGTAGAACTGGTAAGGTGGCATAGTGAAGTCCCTCAGTGCTTTGGTATTGAAAAAAGATGATGGACTTTAGGTAACTACCATAAGCACAATTCTAACAGGGATGTAGTTTGACGGTAGGACTCAGTAAAGAATTAAATGTGGAAATGAGAAAAGATACGTTGCAATTTGCTTCTTTTAATGGTGTAGTCATTAAATGTAAATTAACTGAATAACGAGGGAAAGCAGTTTCTTTATCTGACGGATCTTTTGCAGTGACTGGCAGAAATCGGAAACAAGCGACTTTTACGGGTTTGGTGCTTGAACGGGAAGTGAGATCCGACTGTGATTGTACTTAGTGTTTTTGTGTTGAGCTTATACAGTTCCAGTAGGATAAATACCTAGACTTTGCCTTATTCCTTATCTACAATTGACTTGATTGCCACAAGCAGGAGCAGGAGAGATCCAGCTGTGGATAAGCTGGATATCATTTATTCTCTGGTGGTCATGTTGATCCATATAAAGTAACTGACTAAATGACAATGGTAAAAAAAAAAAAATCATTTTACAGTTCATAAAACTGATAAAGGTAAGAAGGAATTAGAAGGCTTAACATATCAAGTCAAGTGAAATTGATAGGCTTCCTAAACCGCATAATTTGGATATATCAACAAAGTTGAAATGGTAAATTGGCCACCGTAATGATTACAAAAGCTGACGTTTCGAGCGTTAGCCCTTCGTCGGAGCGAATAGAGGAATTGTGGGTTGTGTGTGCTTTTAAAGGCAGAAAATGGAGCTACGTTATTGGTGGGTGCATGGCAACGAGAAAAACATGAATAAATTAGTGGAATGAAAAGCGTTCATTGATCCCTGTGGGATTGAGACTGCCGGTTTGAAAGATGAGCTTTTGTTCAAGNTAAAAATCTTGAACAAAAGCTCATCTTTCAAACCGGCAGTCTAAATCCCACAGGGATCAATGAACGCTTTTCATTCCACTAATTTATTCATGTTTTTCTCGTTGCCATGCACCCACCAATAACGTAGCTCCATTTTCTGCCTTTAAAAGCACACACAACCCACAATTCCTCTATTCGCTCCGACGAAGGGCTAACGCTCGAAACGTCAGCTTTTGTAATCATTACGGTGGCCAATTTACCATTTCAACTTTGTTGATATATCCAAATTATTTCGTTACTCCCACCGACGCAGCCCCAAACAGTTTCTTTCGAAACTATCAGCCTTTATTCCTAAACCGCAATCGGTTGTAAACTTGAACTAATCGTGAAGTTGGGTCTAATGGACATTGCAATGGAAAAAAGTGTCATCACATCAGCGGGATCCAAAGGTCTCGCGTGAAATCGAAGTGAGTGGTCACTCAGTTTAAGATGGCGCTCAAACCCTAAATTACTCAGCAGAAGCAACACGAAAAGCATGCTTTCTCCTAACGTCGAACGCAAATAATTCAAACGGAAAAAGAAACCTGTTCAGCGTCCATAAATCACAAACTGCACTAGGGTTCATACGATTTCCTACGCATAACAAGACACTACAGATATGTAACGTCGGTTTAAATCTAATTCTCAGCATTTGATTCCCAGTTAGTGTGTAAAATGCTTATACGCCAATGACTCGTCAGTGTTAAACGTCTCCGTAATTACCGGTGTATTTCACAGGTTTGTTTTTTATAGCACACGAAGGTCCATCTGGAGTTCCAAATGTGTTAACATCAGCGCCGTTTTCGGTAGGCAAAATGAGTATTCCATCTTGAGAAGCCATGGATGGGTCTTCGTCAAAGTAGTTGTAGGGTCGCAAGAAAAAGCTGGCCGAGTTGGCCGCAGTGGCAGTGTTCGGAATATCTTCCGAATGGGGTATGTGCATCACGCCTACTGTTACCCAGGCAACCAGGTCTTCATTCACTATACTTTCGTCGTCGTCTGTGAATTTTGAGAAGTCCACAACGGGGTCGTGCATGCTGTTCTGATTGTAAATGGAGGAACTTCTTTCTTCCTCTTCTTTGCGTTTAGTGATCGTCATCTGGTTCTGTGTCCAGGCGGCACCTGACATTAGCTCCCAGTCATTAGGGTACATTTGTTTCATCATGTCTCGGATGTGAATACGGTAACCTCGATTGACGCCCATCTTATTCACTTTTCCATCGCTGAAAAAGTTTAAGTACTTAGGATGTTCGAAGTTTTGGCGATAGGTGGCTTCTTGCTCGGTCTGCTTTAGGCTGCGGCTGAGCACCTTTTGTATTCTTCTGGAGCCTGGAAACCAAGGGTTGGTGATATTTTCCACCTTGATTTCGATATTCTCAAAAGAGTTTTCTCTTCCTCCAATGTCCATGTCCACTTTGTAATTGATCAAATGATCATGAATAGTTCCCGCAACGTCAGTATGGATCTCGGTTCCGTATGGAGCCTCGTTTACTGTCCAATAAGTAGCTTGCACGTAGCCACTCGTCGACACTCTGACCTCCACGACACCGTTTGGGTAGAACATGTAATCATAAATGTAATCGTAGTTGTACGCAGTGGAAACAGAGCGCAAAACTAATGCAATTCCTGGCATTCCTCCGTAGAAATTGTAACCACCCCCAAAATCGTTGTCAAAATGTCTGCGTAACGGAAGACCAAGGTCGAGCTCAAATAAACACACTGATTTTCGGAAAGTAGCTGGCTCACTGCTGCTTACAAAATGAATTGTGTCGAAGAATGTGGCCGTGCTTGGGCAGTCGATACCTGGGACTAGTTCAAACTTGCTGCTACCCATACCCCAGGCGGTATCCAGATATTCGGTCAGCATCTGCATGGGACTCCAGCCTGAGTAAAATGCTGCAGCCTCCTGGAGACTGAGTTCATACACGATTCTTTCGCCATCGAATTTGATATCAAACAGCTGCATCCCGGTGGAACTGCGGGAACGGAAATCAAAACTCCACTTCATGTATTCCACATGACTTCCGCTGACGGTGTAACGCTTACCATCGGGCTCCACCAATTGGGGTGGTCTCAGAGGTACTGAGGGCTGTGGTCTTCCTCGCTGAAAATAAGACGAATACAAAGGCGTTTTACTCGAGGAAGATGGAGCGGGGAGGAAAACTTTGTGAAGGGAGCCATTCTTGTAAACTTGCATCAGTTCTTCCACACTGTCGAATGACTGATTATAGTAAAACACTTTTTCAACTTTCCACTCGGAAACATCGTTTCCTTGTGTGTTAAGATAGATCTCAAAGCCAACCGGATGCACGTAGTTTCCCTGTAGTTTCCGAACAAACCAGATCCATTTCTTACGGTGGCCAGACTCTCCGGGTGCCGACTCGGACCATACTAAACAGCGGTCTGTACAACCACTGTATGTGTACCCGTCGAAGCTTTCCTTCAGCAGGTCAAAGGCTTGATCAGTTACGTTCAAGATAATGCCTTCTATGAAGTCACCATCCTTACCACCTGGTGGGCGAGAATCAAATGGGATCGGATATTTATGACCGGGGCCGGTTGTTTCTTCAAATTTGGTCGGTTTTGCTGCTGGACTCACGAGATATTCTGTCACGTTCGGGTTAACTTTTCCTCCATTGAAAATAACGACACGAGCTTTACGCTCGGGTTTCAAGGCGTCGTTGTCGCTATCGAGGAATGCAAGCGCTTCATCTTTAGGTGGTTGTTGCAGCTCAATCAAATAAATGAAGTTGTTGTTTATGGCCGCTTCTTCATAAGGTGTAATGTTCAAGGACGGCTGGCCGAGGATGTAGTCACGAACAGCGATGATCTCATCCTTGGTCAAGTCGTTGAATAGACCTGAGGAGCGTGCTGGCTGAACTTTCAGCCGTGTGTTATCTGGGCAAATAACATGCGAGGACGATCCATTTTCCAAAGTTTCACTCTTACCTCTCGTTGACACCACAATTAATGCAATCAGGAGACCCAAACACAGTAATGCAAGAAAACCACAAACTATTTGCAAAATTAAAACTTTTCTTCCGACGTCTTTAGCCATGATGCGAAATCCTGAATCATTTGCACGCCAGACCTAACTCGTGTATGCTAATTGTCTCCTCACCACGTAATTCTGAACAGAAGACATGGATAACGTCAGAGAATACTTACCTTATTGTAGGAAATTAACAATGCATGTAATTTACTAGTCTCCCTCGCAGCCGTTTTTTTGGATGTCACGCAACGCTCCCCCAAAAGAACGGCTGCTGACATCCGAACTACATTCCTTTCTCATTGTCCTTGCGGTTTGTTCGCGGTCTACTGAACAGACCAATCACATACCAGAAAATCTGAATGACGTAAGGTTTCACGAAAATGTGGATATGGCAGATGATCTAGCTATCATGTCGGGAGAAACACTGAAGAAATTTGTCAATGAGAGCTCAAATTGTTTCACATGTTCATCGTTGTGCCGTGGTAAAGATAGAGTATATATTTTTGGGAAAACTTCTCACAATTTCGTTGAAATTATAGAATCTACGCTTAACATAGACGTCAACTGCTACGCCAACGACACGAACGCTAGATTGTTTGAGCGGTTGTTAAAGTTTCAGCGAGCAAATGAGAAAGTAGAAGAAGCCAAAAACTGAACTGCAACTCTTTATTCGCACTACTTCAAGAGGTTACTACAGATTATAAAAGTCAGAATATATAAGAAACAGTAATTTACATCAATAATCAAAACGAAATACAAGACGCCTTTCAATCGAGGCCAAGGGCTAAACGCCTGCTTCGACCTACAGATGGAGATCAGGAGGAAAAAAGCACGTGCTTGGCGTCAACAAACCGGGCGAAGGCTTCGAGAACACTGCAATTTAGGTCGGCCAACGTCTCCTACACTACTTGTACTTCTTCATTTGCCAGTCCGCTGCTAGCTGGAGTGAACCCGATTAGTTATGTTCGTGGCTTCTTATCACCGGTAGAGGAAATGGGCCCGAATTATCGAGTGTTTCCGCACGTTGGTACAACGCAACAACAATAACAATAATTTGACCACTTTCATCGGTAACATGGTCAAACGCGAGCGGGAGTGCTTGATATATCAGTTAACGATTTCCCGGATCCTGTAGGCAACTTAACAAAAACATCTTTCTCGACTAAAACGTTTCTAATTGCAAGCTTCTGGTGAGCATTAAGCTCGAAAATTTTGATCTTTGACGACGCTTTGCGAAAAGCTCCTTCAAGCACCGCCATTTGTCTTGTGTTTTCCACATGAGGATCGCGATAGAAAACGATATCTGATTGGACGAGTCTCAAAAGGTGAGTCTGGCGCGAAAAGGTTCTTGAAAATGGAACCCGAGCTGTGATTGGCCAATTCGGAGAAAGGAATGTAGCCGTTCTTTTGGGGGAGCGTTGCGTGACATCCAAAAAAAACGGCTGCGAGGGAGACTAGTAATTAACGCGAATTCAAAATATTCGCGTTAATTTTATGCATTGTTGATTAAAATGACGTTAATTGAAAGCATCGTTAATTAAAGACACCTTTATTGTAAGCAAAGCTAAAATTCCTCTACGTCACCGTCCGAGTCGGTTGACGCATCATCATTTAATATTAAGTTCAAAATGTCCTTAGATTCATCAGTGTAGCGATCGTCTTCTCTGAGGGGATAACTCACGTCTTCAACTTTCTTGCGCAAAATGTCAATCGCATTTTTGTCATCCCATTTCATTTCTTATGTTTTTTGCCAGAAATAAAGAGCAAATTTTGTTGTTGGCCGTTGTTGTTTTCTGACGAAATGAGTGCGAAAAATTAAATTCACGTCTTAATTATGTAACATACCGCACGGAAATTCGCGTTAATTAAATGTATGTAAACATAACTTTTGGAAAATTCGCGTTAATTTTATGACGCGTAAATTTTGTTCGCGTTATTAACATACTTCGTTATATTCCTATAATAAGGTATATCTTAATAGACGTTTTGTTGTGTAGTGTCGCTGAGTGTTTTAACGAGTTGTGCCGTATTTTGACGCGTCAAAATACAAATAACGAGTAAAAATACTCAGCGATACTACACAACAAAACGTTCAATAAGTTATTTATTATCCAACACGCCAAACTGTAATTTCAGTGCGGGCGAATTTCGCGGATATTTATTTACGAAGAGTGCGTGACAGAATTATACGAAGTGGAACGGAATTGGCGCGTTGTTGTGTCGCTGTTTCTATTTTCTTCATTAAATGAAGAGATTTTCTGGTCGTCAAGCTGTTTTTCTTCGTTCGATTCATCTAAACTTGGATCTATATTTGCCAGTCATTCTGACTCTTCGTCGTCGGAAACGTGATCCAAATTGTCCGCCACTTTGTTTTTTTCGCTCCCGCGATGCGAGAAAACCTGTTTAACCGGTACTCTACAATAGACGAGTACAAATACCGCGTGATATTTGTAGTCGTCTATGGCGTTATTTGTACTCGTCTAAGTGTAGTTGGATAATAAAAGGTCTTACTCTAGCACAAATAGAATCTATACTGTTTACTTCGCCACCCATCTGTAGAACTTATAATCGACAAAGCAAAGTAGTTGAAAATGTAAGTCAGTAAACTGCCATGTTATTATTGATATTAGTTCCTCATTTTGTTGTTGTTACTTCACAAGTTGGATGAAAGCTTCTAAAATCTACAGAAATTGTTCGTATTTCTTATATATTACATGTACATTGTAAAATGACAAGACAAGAATGACAACAGAATGTCAGTCAGTAAATAGCCAAATTATTATAGTTATTAATTCCTCTATTGTTGTTGTTAAGTCACAAGTTGGATGAAAGCTATTGGTTGAAGTTACACAAACTGTTATTTACAAGTAGACTGGCAAGGCAAGAATGGCATCATAATGAAGCTTCCTTTAAGATCACTAGATCGTATTCTCCAAATCGCTAAGCTAACTGACTATGCTGCGGAAATTTTAAGAACTCTCTTAAGCAGACATAGAATATATACTGTTTACTTTGCCATCCTTTTATAACTTATATTTGATGAAGTAGAGTAGTTGAAAATGTTAGTCACTAGACTGCCATTTAATTATTCTTATGAACTATGCATTTTATAGTTTTTAATTCATATGTGTGAATAAACACCCTTTTAAGTAACTTAAAAAAATTACAAACTTTTTGTAGTTCTCATTTACAACTAGTTGCCTTGAAATAAAGTTGTGTTCAATTCATTTCATCGTTACCACTGTGATGCTAACAATAACAAATTCATAATAGTTAGCACTACTTCCAGAAAAATGTCTGCAATAATTTCAACCACACCCCAAAGCAGACCAATCTCTACTCCTCCTAATTTTTCTATATTACCTTCAACACGTTTGTGAGTTCTAGCCATATTTCTTTGATAAACTGTTAGAGCTTCACATTATACCCCAGCCTCCACACCTGTACTCAATGACAAATAAATCCTAACTACTTTCACGGAGTCTAACGCAATCCTTTATAACCTTATACACATTACTCAATTACCCAGCACTAGACATATGTACGCATTGCGGACTTATTTTTTTTCTCGTTTTACGTTACACTGCCGGTAGTCAGCTATATATCATTTCATCTCGCCTTTTGTTCATGTCAGTCTCAAAGCTCTGACTTTGACAAGACCTTACTGAGAGGTCAAAACAAACCAATCAAAACCCCGTCAGCTTTTGTCTAGTTGAGCATAATGGAAATGATAATGATTACAGCAGTCATGCAGAAACTACAATGGAGTAGAGCATAACAACTTACAAAACACTTTACATGACAAGATAATCCAAGTGTGTTACACAAGTGTAAGAATCCATACATGGCTTCAAATAGTACGTCACGAAATTTGTAAGATAACTAGTATCTACGTAAGAGTTGACGATAACAATGCTCGCGAAATTTAAACACGCGAAAAATAAATTCAAAAAGATGATTTAATAACAACACCACATACAAGATGTGTATCGACAAATGCACAAATTAACATCTGGTTTTACTGGTAAGTTCTGTTGTGTATCTTGTGTAATGTATCTTGTTTAATGTTGATCATCCTCAGTGCAGTCTACAAAATTTCCATTACTTGGTCCCTGGTAGATTTCATTCACAAGGTTCAGTCTTATAACGTTCTAAACACTTGTTCCAGTCTTACTTGGAATTTTAAAAAGTCAGACTTTTTTTTAACAATAAAATGAAGTTGAGAACACTAAATCGTGAAATTTAACGCCCTATTTTCATATCTGCCTATTGAAATCACGAAAATAAAACCACGCGAAATACTGTCTAGCCAAAATCGCGAAATAAGTACGAGTAAGGTGGTTGCCATAGAAAGCAAAAGTGACCTATCGCAAGTCAAAGCCGTCCATTAAACCGAATTAAGACCCTGGGAGAAACCAAAGTGCTAGCAGCAGAAAGTCTTCAAAGAGAGACAAAAAAAAAGGGTGTCAAGGGCCATGCGGGGTAGCGCCCCCTTGTAACCAAATTTTGGCTCCAGGTCGCAGTGAAGAAACTTTCTTTGTATGTGGACTTGATGGTCACATTCTGTTCTTGCACGAAAGTTAAATGGCTGTGTGTGCGGCTTTGCGTTTGAATTAAAGAGAAATACAGTACAGCTAAGGATGGTCATGTGTATAGGGCAGAGCTAAGCTTCAAAAATGGCTACAGAATGAAGTGGTCAAGTTCCTCAATACTTAGGGAATAAGTACATCGCAAATTGCAGAAGAGACAACCGAAGAAAATTCCGCTATGCTTTATTTATTTATTTATTTATAATAACTTCATTTGCCTAAATAATAAGATAATAATAATAATAATAATAATAATACAGACAGATAACAATAGAAATAACATCGAGATGCAAAAAGGCAAAAAGGGTCAAGCCAGAGAGGAACTAAATTCTCATTGACGGCAGCCCCCAGAATAAAAGCAATATGCAATAAAAATAAAACTAAAATGTAAAGGTAAAAATTATTGAAAAAACAAGTTAATTGATAAATGGATATTGGTGCAATATTATTGATATTATTTAAAAATGTGTTCTTTCAGTTTTTTTTTAAACTTACTAGCAGAGCTAGAGCTAACTATGTCACTTGGCAAGTCATTCCAGATTTTTATATATTTATACCAAAAAGAGTTCTTGAGGATATTTGTTCGAGCATAAGGCGTCCAGATTTTGACATTGTTGGTAGATCTCGTCCGACTATTGGAGAAAGTTAAGTAATTACATAAGTCTACTCTTGAAAAACCATTAATGAATTTGAATAATTGCACTAAACTAAGAAATTCACGACGCGAGTTGAGTGTTGGCCAGCCAAGATACTTCAAACGTTCACTATAGTCGATAGAACTACCAAGGATCCACCTGGAAGCATTCCTTTGCACTCTTTCAAGCTTATCAGAAAGATATTGTTGATGTGGATTCCACACAGGACAGGCATACTCAACAATTGGCCGAACCATAGACTTGTATCCAATTGATATTGCTTCAGAGCTTTTCCCAAATGTGCGCTTTAGTAGGCCAAGTATCTTATTTGCTTTAGCAGCAACAGAGAGAACATGCGGTTTCCAAGATAAGTCAGATGATATAATGACTCCAAGATGTTTGTGTGTTTTAACCTGTTCCAGTGGGATTGAATTGATGTTGTACGAGCAAGGTGTTACAGATCTAGATCTCGTGATTTTCATACATTTGGATTTAGTTGCTTTAAGTTTCAAAAGCCACTTTTTACACCAGTCTACGATCTGAGACAAGCTTTCACACACAGGTTGATGAACAGATGATGGATGATCTGAGTTAAACAATAGAGTATCATCGGCAAACATTTCACTTGAACACGATAAGTTCTCAGGTATATCGTTGACATACAACAAGAACAACATTGGCCCAACAATACTTCCCTGAGGGACACCAGAGTAAACCATGGACCTTTAATATGGAGAAGGTCTTCGCAATGACATTACACGACGAAACATTTATACTTTAGACAAGTGCCACACGATACGTTCCCCAGTTTCCAGCTATTTAGGGCCTGATTACATGATCCGGGCTGGACCGGTTAGCCGGGCTGATTTCTTTTGTTTTGGTGTTCACCAAAGCGTGAAAACAAAAGAAATCAGCCCGGCTAACCGGGTCAGCTCGGCTCATGTAATCAGGCCCTTAGACTTCAGACACTTCAACTCTTTGTTGGTACTCGACGAATTATAACTTTCGATGAGAGAATAAAGTTGCTCAGTCCAGTTTTCGGTCACTAATGTCGAACGAGTATTCTTCCATACTGCTCCAAGAAAACAAATATGCCAAAGCAAAGCCATTACGTAGGGGTGAGAGGTAGGGACAATACTTTACCACATCCACTCTGAAAACTCTCAGTGGGGGGAAGTAGCACTGTTTGTTTTGTTTTAATTTCATAGCGGTATGGGAGATGGGAAAAGGTTTGAAAATGTCTTTTTTAAAATTGGTAACTCCGACTCTTGCCCCTTCCCATTTGAAGAATCTTCCCCGATAGTCGGTATTCCAATTTAGGCTCACGGATCTGAGCGGAGGGAAGGGTCAGGAGAAGGGCTTCGCCTTTCTATCCCTTCCCTTCCCATTCGCCCACGATATTATTTTTAGAACTTCTTGTTGCTGAGTCACTCGTTATTACTGGTCGCATGATGCGCCTGTTAGTCATGTGACTTTCCGTTTTGAAATAAAAATGCAGCACAAGACTAATTTGACAGTTGCGAAACCGTCATGGCGAAATCTTTTTCGCACCTGTTGCTTGCTGCAGTACTGGTAGCGGTTGGAAATTCGCAAATTCCTTTACCTAAACGTCCGCTGGGGTTTGTCTACAAAGGAGGTGAGCCGACTGCACCAATTCACCTGGAAGCATTTGTTGATTTGACTTGTCCGGACTGTCAACAAACATGGCCGACTGTCAAAAAAGTCGCAGATATGTACGGTCCTGAAACCGTCCAATTTACCTTGCAGCTTTTTCCATTGCCTTATCACACAAATGCATTCCTAGCGGCACAGGTGAGTTGAGAAAAGATAGGTCAGACTTATTTACCTTCACAATATTTCTGTGAAATGAGTGAAGCTATGTAACGTCATGACAGTCCGCGTAACACAGGTTGGTAGGAAAGTCCAAAGTTACTTTGAAGGAAATACTAAACTTCCCAACACTCACTCCTTGAAGTTATTTTGTATACAATTTCTCGTCGCCACGTTTTCAGTTTTTATAAATACAGAACTTTTAGATTTGTAGCAAATGTAAGTGCAAAGTTATTGTGACACTGTCATCTCTCTATGCTACAATCTGTATTAAGTATTAATAACGATTTTGATGTTTTCAGAGTGTCTATGCCGTGGAAGCCTATAATACCTCTCTCGTAATAAGCTGGATGGATGTCATATTTGAGAACCAAAACCAACTCTATGATTTCCAGACTATGGACAAAAACAGATATGATGTAATAAAGTAAGCTTTGCTCAGTAATAGAGATTTTTTTATCAAAGACTTCCTATCACTATGAATAACCCTAATCCTTTGCTTCTTTATCCTTCAAACCACGATTCCAAAATCCTCATCTGCTAAGTTCACTAAATGCAAGTTTTCTTGTTGCACATCAATGCCTTTTTGAAAACCTTTTTCTTAATTTTTATCAACTCCCAACACTCAGAGGAGTAGCAGTGTGTCATTTTCCCTTTTCTCTCATACCTGTAGCATCATTGCTGACTTGGGAAGTAAAATTGACATTGATAAGACTGTTATAAAGGATGGACTTACAAACACAGAATATAATGAACATACAAGAATCTCATGGAAGTTTGGTTGTTCAAGTAAGCTAAGTACACATTAAGTGCTCAGGTAGTCAATTTACAAAAGACCAGCAGTAAACCCAATTTCAGATTCAAGTAGCTTAAATCTGAACCCCACAATTTCAGACTGAAAAACTCAAATTGTGCAGGGATCTGTAATAGAATATACCCCTACAGCTTTTGAAAGGTGTTGTGCCATCAGTTTCAGTGCATGGCCCTCTTCAAGCATTTGCTAAACTGATGGAAGACCCAAGTTACTGAGTGACTTTAAATCTGATGATGAAACAACTACAACAATTGAATGACCAAATGTTTGTCAACATCTGGCCAGGCGCAGCATGTAGGTCTGGGGCTAATTTATCTATATTCCCACAAATATGAACCACATTACACTGTAACTGACCACAGTCCTTCTCAAGGCAACCCTTGCCTAGATTTAGAAATGTAAATGTAATGTATACTTAATTGACCACTCCCACAGAAGGGCATTTCACATGGTAAATAAACACAGTGTTTAAAAATTTGAACAAGCCACAGGTTGACCAGTTGGCTATAAACAAAGTGCAGCTAAGAAGTTAAACTTGGGCAAATGAGAGTAAATCCAATGAGTAGCAAGGTGGAGGGCTTGAAACTGGGATAAACAGATTTCAATTCCAGCACCCTTAACACTGGGAGATATTGCCTCTGTCAATGATGAACCTACATGATAATCCTTCTCGCTCCCACACCTGAAAGCTAATTTCTTTATTGATGACATTGTGTTACTTTGCTGGCTGGTTCTCAAAATTTGGTGTAAGTTTTATCCGATCAATTTTCCTCGGATTATTGATATTGCCTAATTCTCATTACCAATCTGTGATTCTATATCATAATTGTAAGGAGAGTTGAGCTCCTGCTATCACTCTTAGGAGTCAATTGGGTAAAAATAAAGAGCTTGTGAAATGAGATTTATTTTATGGTAAGAGGTACTTAGTTGTTCAGCATTTATTTAGATATATCTTGTGGTCCAAATCATCCTTGGGTGGAGATTTTTCAAAAGCCGCATGGTTTTATGTTCCTTTGTGTAATTACTCATCATTATAACATAAAACTTGTGAGGGATGTGGAAGTCTCACTCTGAAAAAATTTAAGCTATGAACTGCATCATATATGTGTGACAGCATTTAACTTTCTATACCACCAGAGAGATTGCTGGACATCATATTTGTTGCTGTTTGTTTCAGGGACAGTTTCTGGAACTCCATTTTTCTTCTTAAATGGGGTTTTTGTTAGCCAGGCAACTGCTGCTTGGACTGTGGAGGAATGGAAACAACTCATTGATCCCCTACTGAAGTGAGATGTTAGGTGAGTAGTAAAATTAATACTGATGAGTGCATCACAATAATTCGTTATCCCTTTAGTTCCTTGAACTGTGCTTTAGATCTAGCATTCATTCCCTTTTTTTTTTCTCCAGCCACTAAAGCTGTGATTGCTTGCACATTGGGGCCACAACTTAACTTCTACATCACGACAATGAACTTCCTTGACTTTGTTCATTTTTAAACATGAAAAGACTATGATAATGGTGCTAAGGCTATTGATCAGTGATGGGAAGAAGTCTCTGCAAGATTTTGTTTTGAATACCAGAATTAAGAGGGACTTCAAACAAAAATGTTGAATTATGCTAAGTATAAAATAAAACTAGATTAACAAGAAATCACTTGATAAACTTGAATGATTTGTGTTACTTCATCTCGTTAAAGGGACTGAATGGTTCAAGTGAGAATTGCAATCAAACTTATTAAATATTTTTGAGAAAAATCAAACCTTGTTTGTTCTTTACTAGGATTATTGTGTTCATAAAACAAATGTTGAGCCAACCCAGCTTAATAAAGTTGTATCTGGGGGAATACTTCCAAGAGTGAACCATAGCAGGTCTCATCCATAGACTCCTGATTCTCTAGGAATACACCTGTCCAAGAGAAGTGTAACCTTTTTAATTTTACCTTTTCACTCCTATGATCTCCCTAGGGTCTCCTCGGTGTCTGTCATAAAATTCTTATGAAGTTAATTTGAAGTCAATCAATTATATTGTAGGGAGAAATTCTGACACCAGTCTGATTTAAAGGGCCAAAGGTTTATCTACACAGTGCGAGAGATTTAACTAGTTGAGGCGTAAAACAACAACGTTTATTTGTGCTGTGGTAAAACTGAGTTGAGAAAACTCACATCGGACTGTTGGATTGGTCTCTTTGTTGATCCAGTAAGGTATTCACGAAGTTGATCAGATACAACCCTAAATAACTGTGAGTTTTCATCTAGGATTTACGTCAACTTAGTTTCTGGTGCACTGGCTTCATGAAACTTGCTTAAGTTACCAACCCTTCATTACTTTCATTCTCCACTTATTTTAGTGGATTAATTTGGACTGACGATCTCTTACCCATTTGCCTGATCTGAGTGCGAGTCAAATCAAAGCAAAATTAGGATTATTCATCATTCGTAAACACGGAATAATTTAAGAAACGTTTTAAGTTTACGCCTTTGCGAAAGGAAAAAAAATCAGCTCGAAGTTACCACAAATTAATTCATTTTCGATGACAGGTGGATCAGGGAAGCGACTCACCGTGAACTTCACTGAAGAAGTAAAAAAAATATGCATAGGAAAAAGCAGTTATTCTATGTCAAACAAAAACTTTACAGGTGTATTTAGACTCGGGGCCTACAAGGAGAACAGAAGCTCAGTATTATCCCATTATCATGATCCATTATGCCAAATGGCACAGCTGAAGAAAAGCAACACTATAGTGTTTAGGAGTGGGTAGCTTTTACGTCAAAGGAAAATCATTGAACTTGTTGAAATGCATTTGGACGTTTGTACACAGATGTGAAGATATCTCATCTTGATGAGAAGTCTCATATCTGTTTTTAGATGGATAAGTGAAATGTTTGCATTTTTACCATCGTGAAAGCAGAATTTTGCTTAGACATGGGGTTCTTTTAGCAGACTAGTTATTGCGTTATGCCCGTAGTACTAATACCCTCATTTCTTTTTCAATTAATCAAGAGGAACGCCTCTTACCACAATTTCAATCCTTCGATAGATCTGTTTATTGAATGGACTCCTGTTCTTCGTCTAATTGAGTCGTCATTCTCTGGCACGTTTTGATTGGTGGTTGACAACAGCTTCTTCAAACACGGCACATTCAGAATACAATTTGAGTCCTTTACTTTTCTTCGCTTTAGTGTAATTTCAACTGATGTTTATTTAGCATCCAAAAATCTCGAGGGTGCGTCGTTACTTGAACCAAAGCCTTTCCAACGTCAACCATGAATCTCTGTAACTCAACTTCAATCGGACCTCGTGGTTACGAAATATTTTTAGTTTATGTGGTGTTCGGATTCCTTGTTACTTCGTTCGCTTCCAATTTCAAAGGTGAGCACGTTTACGAATTTATAATATTAAAAAAAAGAAACATTGAAATTTAGCAAATTAAAGGAAGGGGGTTTTTTTTAGAGAAAACTCATTACAATTAGCTCAGCGAACATGATGAGTTGTCATCACTGGATTCACCAAGTAGTAATACAATTAATACCCTATTCACACCAAAGCTTAAACATGTTTTAAAGCTGCTTTGTCAAACACGGTTTAAATTGTTTTTCCTCCGAGTAGCTGCTTAAACTGATGTTTGTCGACTTCAAATATACAACTGAGTTAGTGACTGCTTGAATTCGGCTGGGGAAAATTTCGTTTTCGGTTCTCTGTTTATGATTTTCATCCAGTTAAAGCCGGTTGAACTAAATATGCTTTGCTGTTGTGAATGGAGCATTAATTAACAGACGTTCTACTGACCGCTATAAAGGTTACATTCATTTGCGATGTAACGCACAACCCGTCTCAGAGAGACCTATCAGTATAGCACACTAACCAGTAAAGAACCTAGTGTTGCTACATGTCAGTAATCGGGTGAGACTATCGAGACCACCTCACAATGAATTGCCTTTGATCTTGATGCACAGAAGAATGATTCGAAGACCCCAAAAAAGTAAGCACTCGATTAGTGGTTCTCCGCCTCGGACTGTTACTCATTTCTCTACGTTTGTCTAATCACCCATTTTCCTGCCTGTTTGCTGGAAAACGTATTGATATTGCTAGGAGAAGTTCCATATGGGTTAAGCACTAGTTACAAGTAGCGCATCTAAGTAAAGTTAAAAACCAAAATAAATCGTTATTCTTGTTTACTTCTCTTAAGACGACGATGTCGACCTTCCGATGATACCATTCCCTCTTCCTAGACGTACTCCAGGGTTCGTTTTCAATGGTGGAAAATCTAACGCTCCAATTCACTTGTCAGCATTTCTTGATCTCACTTGTGCGGACTCGAAGCGAGTATGGCCCGTGATTAAGAAACTTGCCAACAACTATGGACCAAAAAAGATTCGTCTGACAGTTCATTTCTTCGCCCTCGCGTACTTTAACAATGCCTTTAGGGCTTTAAAGGTAACATCAGACAGCGTTGAGGTTTTCCAGTCCTACGACTTTAGAAATCCGTTTGCAATCGCCCCCTTCAAGAGCACGCTATTTGAAATTTCGGGAAACCTTGCGACCGTCATCAGCCCAGATTTCTGAGCAGTGCCTCTCCTTGGCTACAAACACTTCTATTTAATTAATGAATTTCGTTGGTCTTTCAACCGTTGTTATTACTACTCCGTTCCCTGAATTCAGTCTAAGGGATTCTTTAGCATTTTTTTCCTCCCTGATTCCCCATGTGTACCAAAAGACCAATCGTAAAGACCTATAATTTGCAACCATCAGTCTGGATTAACCCTAAACAGGCATGGTGATGGGAAAGGAAGAGCTAAGAAGAATGAGGGAAAATATTGAACTTTTACCATGTCTTTTAAGCAAACCCAGTCTGAGCAGCTAAGGTTCCCCTTTGCATAGAAGTGCTTTGTCGAAAATTTTCTGTTGGGTCGCCACTTTTCAGGTTTCAGGTCATCCAGGTCTTGCTTGAACTTTTAAATGACATGCACCGTTATTTCACAGAGTGTGTACACAGTAGCAGCCTTCAACACGTCTTTAGTGTTCCCGTGGGTGGATGCTGTTTTCAAAAACCAAGATCGGCTCAAGAATTCGGCGAGTACCTTGACAATGAGCCCAGTGGATATTGAACAGTAAGAGATAAGTCTTGCAAGTGTATTTTCACGAGATTAAGAGCAATACTGAGTTTGTTTTTACCTTTTGATGGCATTTAGTGTTCATTACCATGGGTAGAGGCAAACTTTCTCTCTTAGGGATGTGGGAGTGTTGACAGGATTTTCCATAAAAGAAGACCACGATTGACTTCTTACCTAAGAATATAAAAGTGCCCTCCTCGATGAAGAGAAGGTTGACCGCACCCTATGATCCCAACCCCCCCTCCCCTCCCACTCCTGTTGGAGCTGAAACTGACTAAACGGTACGAGGTAGCTATCTGGTTTTGATGACTTGTTTATTTTTGGAGCCTTACAACATATTTGTTCCTTGTACCCTTACATCAGTTTAAGATGAGAACAGCTGTCCTTGTTTTATTCAAAATTACCAGTGTTATCGCGCAGATGGCAGAAAGAGCTGGTATTCCCTCAAGGGTGGTGAGTTACGGACTGACAAGTCCTGATCTCGAGTCCGAGGCGCGTACGGCCTGGAAATACGCTTGTTCAAGTAAGCTGCTCAGGTGTAGAGCCCCCTTAAGGGGAATTAGAACATCAAGTGCGGTTACATGAGGAACTTTTACTGTGGTAGGTGACCCTTTCAACATGCAAAACTGCTTTTAGTGAGTATAGCGGACATTTCCCAAGATATCTTTGCCATGGTTAACATCCCGGCATAGATACATTACAAGGATCACACAAGTGCCCATTACTTTAATTTGAGGAGTTGCCGTGGTGTTTTGATGTCCCCGTTACGAGTGCAGCCACGATCAACACGTACCCACAAAAGAAAAGGTGGTTTTCTTTCGGTTTCACTCGTTTCTTTACCAAAAGGAATAACTTTGACACCACAGATATGGCAACGGGTAATAACGGCCCAAATAATAGACGGATATACTCATAAGTGGCTCTGAAAACGCGGAAAATTACCATTCACCAGCCATCAGGCGATCCATCCCTTAGTAAACTTTCGAATCAAATATCTGGCCGGGTAGGACTCCTAGGCCATCGACGCACGATTAAGTCGTCGAGCTCATCGAGTATGGTTGCAAGCAACCATCACCTTCGAAGTCCGATCGGCCTCAACTATCACATCAAGAAGGAAGCGCAAAGTCGTGAATCAGACAGACGACATGACTGATTGGATTACTACTCGTTTCGTACCCACCGATATTTCGGAGAGAGATAAGAAAAATAGAAAAGTGCAATGCTGCTGAGGTATCTATCGCCGGGAATTTAGTGGGGCTATTTACGGCTCACAGAGGCAAGCATAATGACTCAGTTCCTATGTGTATGTTCCACAGAAACGGTTATGGGTACGCCTACGTTCTTTCTAAATGAAGTCTTTATTGCTGGCGATGCTTCATTAAACTGGGGTGAAAAACAATGGAACGGGATCATTAACAACATGTTAACGTAAGTAAGAAAGTCCATTAATATTTAGTTACCCACCTTCAACCTCAAGACCCAAGAACCAATCAAAACTATCGAAATGGGTAATTCCGTTGACTTCTACGCGGTTACCTGAGGAAAAGATTTGGGTCGAACTGAAGATTTATTGTTAGGTGTGCAAGCAAGTCCTCAATACAGTTTTTTTTAAATCAGCACCAAACTACACATGTAATCAACCTTAACAAAATTTCGATGAACTATCGACTTTCAATTTGTTTCATGAAAATACCTTTTTGTTCTTTAATAGTGGACCTAAGTGAAGTTGACATCGTAACTACTTGACGTAGACAGCTGCTGTAATTAACATCAAGTCTGCAATCGCCGGTTTGAATGCCGAGTGTGGTTCATTTACTGGCTGAATTAAGAGGGGACAGATCTGGTTTGCTGAAGAGTAAAGATCAATGACTTGTTGAAAAATTCCCATCCTTACAATGCTTGATATCCGAACATTGTTCTACGATTAATCTTAATTCCATCAGTATTTTCGAGTTTCAGTTCGGTGTTTGTACTATTACCGAACTGTTTTTGAGTTTGTTGTTGGTTTCGTTTTGTACGTAAGCCATCTTGCGTTCTCAGAAAGGTTCATTAAAAGTGCCAGTGGTCCTTTATTTTTCTTACTTTAATCTGACCCTAGGCTGTAATAACTTGTTTAGTTTTGAGGAGTACACCGCTCTGCCACGATGAGACATTTCAAAAGAAGTGTGGATCAACCATGACCCTTTACAGCCAAACCTTAATGTTTGACTCAGGGGTGGTACAGTAAGCAGAAATTGGATACTTGTTTCTCTTGGGAATCATGATAAAAGGGCTAAGTTCCTTGACGCTCCAACTTCCACAAAGGTCATGCGCAGCATGCCGGACAGTTCTCTGGCCGGTTAGGAGCTGAGGGAGCTTCCTGTTTCCTTTTAACAAGGCTGAGGAAAGCGCGTAATAATTCAAAGAAGTAAAGAATCCTTAAATGCAAAAGAGAAAAAAAAGGATGAGGGGAAACAGTGCGAACCTAGCTTTGGAACAGATCGAACTTGTTAGTTTCGAAACAAATCTTGACACTTACTAGTCGACCGAAGGCGGAATAATATGCTTAAGTACCCACCAATAATAGCCCAACTGGCAAATATCGATCAAGCGTTAGAGTAAAGCGCATAAACAAAGCCACTCAGTCGTGCATACCACTCATAACAAAGGCGTTTTTTTTTTCCATTTAGAGAAGTGCAAGTTCAAGTACTAAACTACTAAAGTCAACTTAGCTGTTACAAGAATACATAAAACCGTTCAAATCACRTTCCGTGCTCCTGAATAAGGACAAACAGCCGTTTAAAATTCAGTCGACTTTCTAGCGCGTGCACTCGAATTCGATGCAATGTGTGACACCTTCTCATCGATAATAACGCGCAAGGGCTAATGGGATACCCGACTGATCCTCCTTTTAGTCGACCATTTTCTGTCGAAAAATCCTATCTCAGATTTCTGAGGCGGATACAGGACTGGAGGAGTGCCTTTGCTTCATCATACTGAATCCCTTGCACAGAAAAACTTTAGAGCGTTGGGATCTAAGGATCTTTAAAAGTGACATAGTCCTGCACACTCAAGTTGTACCGTAGTTCATAATCTCTAGAGACCCAATTATCTCAGGATTTTTAGTGTCTCATGAACACACAATTCGTTCGATAATTGGGAAACAGGTCTTTTTGTTTCTTTAATTCTTTTCTAATTTGGTGCTTATTTTCATAAACAGTCCCGACCCGCCTTTTTATATGCAAATCTCGGCCTCAGCCATTTACAAAATGTATTGATACAGACCCCTTACTCGCATAGCTACAAATTAAGTAAAGCTGCATGACGAAGGGGAACGCGTTTTACTTTTAAAAGCGACATGAGTTTGTAGTCGTCGCGGGACCTTTTCAACTTACGAAGATTTCTGGCCGTGACGAACATCAAACAGCCTCGTAAAATGACGAGAGTGACAAGGTACATGCAGTTCTTTTGACCAAAGTGAAACCCAGTGCAACAACTTGAAGATGGCCAGTTGGAGGTTGTATTAAACATGCCGGGCATAATGAGGAAAACATTTTTCTTTGAAGTGTACACCCCTTTCGTAAATAGAACAATGCGATCGCTACAAAAATCACCATCGATTCTGAGTTCTTTTTACAGATTTGACTATTATTTATTCCAGCCCTGCCTTCCCCTGATTCTAATCGCGATTTTCTTACATTTTACATAAGTTCAGCGCAAAAATTGTTGTGAACTTTGCATATTCAATTTCCTTAAACTTTGGGCAGCTGTCAACTGTCTCTTAATTTTCGGTGAGAAACTGTACAAAACTTATCTAAAGACTAAACTTACGTATTGTCATTATTCGCGTTTAAGTGCAATTAGAAGAAGAAAATATTTTGCTGTCAAAATAAATACATTTAACACGTGCAAAGGATGTAGGTAAACTGTCTAGGAAACGAACCTGGCCCTTTTTTTGAAGCATCGTAGTCTCGATAAAAATTACGAAGATAGAAATCAGCAGGAATAATTGAGATGAAAGTGAAAAAGACAATTGAGGCGGGTTTCACGATACGGTCGCGTCAATTAACATATAACCAAGAAATTAATTCTAGGTTAAATAAATAACATAAATATCGTCGCTTTTTCGCGGGCAGTGAAGCCCAAAACAACTTGGCTCTGGACAAACACCCATCACTACTTGATTTCTTGTTTGGTTCAAGCATCGGCCACTGTCATCAGTTGGTGAATTTTTTTTCGAGCCTCCATGTAAAGGCACGCCGTGTACTTGTGAGCTACAACATGCCAACAGGTCATGACTTGGTGTCACCATTATATTTAATTGCGATGCAGCACAGTGGCGGCGAAACATTTGTTATGATGCTCTGCTCAGTGTGTTGTGCTCGCTTCACACCTGTTTTATTCGCAGCAAATTGCGCAACTTCACATTTCTTATTTTACTTAAAAATCGTGGCACGTTTAGTATCACCTTCCTCAGTTCTTGAAAAGTAGAGAATACGCTTCAGGCTGGCCGTTTAAATTTCTTCCTTCAAGCTTTATCTGATATAAGTATCAAAGCGACCTTCCCAGAGTTAGTCTTCTTCCTACGTTTTGAGTATGGAAATGCGCGATTGAAACCGGGGAAGCGAATAGACATCTTCTGGCGTCTGTGCCCAAGTACCTGAATGCCAAGTTGGATTGAAGGTAACTAAGTGATAAGAGAGTATAAATAGAGGAATGTACGGGGTTTTCTTGTGGTGTCAACAGACCATACATAGGACAAGCAAGATGCTTCTTCAAATGATTATCACGCTTTGAAAGGTTATCGGTCATTGGTAATCTTCCGATAATTTCTCAAGTTTCCACCTTTCGATATATTACATCTATCATCTAGGATCCACACTGTATTATCAATATTTTGTATGTTTACCCTCTGCTCACTTATCAACATTTCTTAGTCATATCTCGGTCTCCCCAGTTTTCACGGACTTTAGAGAATTGGCGCAAGATAATTGTCCTCTACAATGATATTTTTCTATGATATTTTTCGTTTTTCTATGATATTTTTCGTTCACACCTCGTTTTCTCTTTTTTGGGACCGAGCTGTTAAAATACAACCCTAAACATGTGAACTTTTTCAAATTTCCTTTTGTAATCCATTCAAAACCAGTCAAGTAAGCAGACTGCCATTTTACATATACAATCACAAACGCCGTTCGACGTTGCGAAATGGTATTTCACAATACGTGAAGCAATATTTCTCCGGCGCGATTGGTTTTGCGGCCTTTCAGCTAAGAAAATTATCTATTTACATACCAAGTTACGAAGGAGTTTCTAGCATTGTATCAGTTATGTTCGTTTTTTCTATTTCATTCTTACTATTTCGTTCATTTTTCTTTACAACAATCAGTTAAACCTAATACACCTCGAGAGTATTTCACCAGGTTAAGAAGAAGTAATTTTACTATACAGTCACAAAAGATGCAAAATCATCAGTGGTTATTCATTAATGACTCCTCCCATATAATTTCTAAAAGAAAAGCCTTTTATTGGCGTTATTGAACCACGAGGGAAACATCACGCTATTGTCTGGCTTCCTTGTCTAACTTCACACACACTTGGTAAGAGTCATTGCGCAAGACTAACTCTATAGACCGCCATGTGGTTTGTCATCTTAATACGTGACTGCTTTTGGCTCAGTCCTTAGTCTGCTGAAAACTTATAAAAGTTTAAGATAACCCTGAAAAAAAAAAGAAGGAAAACTGATTTTTTTTCACTATGGCAACACGTTTTTTTAAATCTCCAATATACACGCACCATATTATCGAAGGCACCTGTCACTTCAAGCACTTAATGCTACTGTGACCATCAGTCGAAGACGTAGGGGCTTCTCCATCATGTAAATGAAGGCAGTGAAGATAAATCTTGTTATTGTGAGCGTCTCCACGGCAGGAGAAGGTAACGATAATTGCTTGGATCTTAGGAAGTCACCAAAATTTGCAGGGAAGCTCCATTTGAAAAAAAAGTAATAAAAAAAAACAGGAACTCTCGAACACATACACCAAGTTATAGTTATATCGATAGTACATGTTTAACAATCTTAAAAAACTCACTCAGAGATAAAAAAAAAAAACCGCGTGACTCGATTAAACTATTTTAATTCAAAGACTTGCATGGCCTTCTGAAAAACATGTGGGCTTCCACGATACACAAGGACAGACGTTGTATTAGCACTAATTGTTTGCCAGAAAGCTATTCCAAATTTTTAACCGTGAACTCCAGTGAACCAATGCCAGTTTAATAAGATTTTTTTAATGTGTGGAGTATTTTGTTTTAATAATTGTTTGTGCAAACAGTAGGAGATTGCAGCTGAAAAGAAATTATCCAGCTAACAATAGTAGGCTGTCGGTTACTGAGTTAGTAAAATCACGCGGCGACAGTTTAATAAAATAACTAGATTTGATTTGAGTTGTGGTCAGGTTTAGCTCAATAATATAGCTAAATAATATGGCTTTTAAATCTTTTCCTGCAAGACAAACCTAGTCAACAGCAGTCGCTTTTGACTTGAATGTAACATTTTGATAAATCATTCAAAGCGAAAGTTCGTATGAACTTCCAAACTATAAGTAATAACATTTACAGAACAAAAACAGATGAGTTTTGCAGTGATTTACTGTATATACACACTCCATATAATGGAACTGTTTTTACATCATTGAAGGATCCATTTCTCTCTCCCCTTTGGTTTCATTATTATTAATGGAGTTGTTGTAAACTTGTTATGCAAAACAAGACACTTCACTTATCACAACAAGAATGAATCAATTCACTACAATGCAACTAAAAAATAGTTTCATTCTTCCTACAATTTTAACCTCAGCTGCTTAAAAATTGATAACAATGGAAATAGATTTAATAGATATTATGCTTTTCTACAACTTTCACGAAATGAAGTGCAGTTAATTCCTCTGTAAATATATTAATAAAACTTCATTCCTCATTTTCAGTTAAGTGATCAGTTCTTCTTGAAGAAAGACTCGCATCCTATGACATATATTGCTCTGAAAGGCAGTAGACACTTTCACAAGAGGTGAAGAAGCAGAAAGAGTACAATAGGGACGACATACAGATACCAAAGTAATCTGTATAATCAAAGACATTGAACTACAAACGAGAAGAAATAAAAGCTAATATGGAACACAAGGATCAAAACAAGACATTGATATCGAGGGACTCCAACGCTGGACTCTGAGTCAGCAGCAAACTGAGGATTGGTGGCACACAACAAATCTCTTAAAAGAGTATCAATCAGTATCGGACCTTAGTTTCCGATTTGTCCCCGAAAAACTTAGACAACGACTTTTTAAGACCATTCGGAAACAGGTTTCTTTCTTTTTTTTTTGTCAAACTCTAGCATGTATGGATTGCACGCCTGTTTATCCTTTAACGTACTCAGTTGCTTTTAGTAAAAGCAATCTACGTTATCGAAAAACATGATTCAATTGCAAAATTTTGGCTCTGAAAAGCAATATTGTTCACTCATGCGTGGCAAATACATTTCTTTTAAATTCTGATGTACTACTCAAAAAACTCATCCAAAAGCTCTGACGACAATCCTTACTAAACTTCACAACATCACTTTTGACGACCAGGTTATCATTTTTGTGGACATGTTAAGCAAATTTTACTAACGAACTAAAACCGAAATCCGCAGATTTCGTTTGTTTCTATTTGTTGTATTATTCCTGACCGAAGATTTACAGCTTAAAGGTACCAGTGCCGCCTCTATAATTACCACGTGGCGAAAGAGACATCAAAGACACTTTCACAATCATCTGTTCTGGTGGATTATTTCATTTTTAGCCTAGGCTGGGACACTTTAAGACTATAAAATTAAGCAATATTTAATTCGTTTCTCTTTTAAGTCCAGGCTTGTAAGGGGTTCATTATGCATCTCTTCGCTGTTTCCACACAGCTGTTAAACTATGTACAGGAGGCGGGTCACCTGTGAAGGTTCGTGTCTTGTGGAATGTTGGCTCTTCACAGCAGGGCTGTAATGAATTTTTTACGTTGTTTTGGTGCCAGAATTTTTCCATTTATTGTTTTTTCCTGAGATAAGAATCTTCTCTGCCGGCAAGCAGAAAAAACTTACGACCTTGTTTACATGAAACTGGGGGAAAAAGCAGGAATTTTACCAAGAAAATACAATAACTGCCCAGCTAGGCACCCCTCCCTTTGTAGCCTTTCCAAGTAGCCTTACGACAGGTAAACTGTTGTTTCCGGAAGGTGTCCAAACTATCCTCGCTTATTAGATTGTTTTTTTTTTTTTTTTAATGTGTTTGTTTGTGAGGCATTTTTGCTGCAAGGCAAATGTATATCATTTTGTCAAATTATTTCAAACGAAAGTTGTTTGGCACCTTTTAGTTAAATTGACCTTCCAAAATTTCAATAAGTATATGCAACATTTACTCCAATAGATATAATTTTGTTAGCCTTTCAAAATATCTAGCGTTAGCCTCAAAACATTCCTTCATATTCAGGTGCAATGTTTGGAGAACAACAACAGATTTTTCTTTTTTCTAATACCATACGTAAGCACTCAAGAATAGCTCACGCACGTTTCAATTCAAGACTGTTTTCCTTTACACTCAACATTAATTCATTTGGGCTACAGTTGATATCAAAAATGTAACCTTCCTATTTTAGACTGTAAGCTTTCGGTTCGACCTTGTTGAGCTGCGTCGTTGCTGTACTTTGCGTCGGCGATTAGCAGTGAAAATTACTATTACTATTACTAGACTCTCCCTATAGGAAATAATAGAATTTTCCGCTCGGTTGGTTAATTTCGCAATAAAATCTCAACATCTTTCCGTAACATTTTCAGTTCATTTCTTGGCATAACCGCCTTGCCATTGCCATTCAATGGCTCATGTTTTGTCATGTTGCTCTGGGACGGTGTGATGTGCCTTTTAAAATAGCAAATTCCCGTGGTTCACCACACGAAGAGGTCGATTTCTTTATTTGTACCTCCAAACAATATATGGAAAGTTTTGCAAAGGGTTCAATCTTTTTTACTAGTAAATGTATACATTCAATAACATGTTGCAGTTTCTAGCATCACATCTTTTCGAGATGTCTCGAAATTTATGTAAGCAAGAATAACCTTTAAATACCTCTTGAAACTAAATTCTGGTTATAATAACAAATACTAACTTGCTATTTAATCACTAAGGATCGTTTAAAGATAACCATCATATTCAATTCGCTGATCAGCGACCAAGCGTTCAGTTCGACGTGCATCAGCCGCAGCGTAAAGAACTAAATAACCACATAGACTGGCCGACCCTTCGACAGTAATTCTTCGTGTTGGTGATCAAAGTTTGTCGTCGCTAAGCTCTCTCAGGCAACTACGTTACCCAGTTCAGATTTCTTTCCCTTGAACTTGCCCGCTTGTTGAGCACAAGTTTCAGTTACAGTACATGCTTTGTTTCCAAGCTATTCACATCATGGCAGTTTGGCGATGTGACTCGGTCTGTTCTCATTACTGAGGAGTGTTAAAGTTGTTTGTAGACTCGAAGGCAGGCATTTCTAACCGGGGCCAAGGAAAGCTACTGGTTATAATTCGGTCCATTCTGTGCTAAATCGCGGTAATGGAAGCTCATAAACGGAAGCTAAAAGTGCTTTTTAGACGTACAAACAAGCTCAGTGTCAGTGTTCCGGATATATGCAGCCATGATTTCTCCTGAATATTTTTCAAGGAACGAAGGTCTTGAGCATCATTAAGAAACAAGCCCCTACTCGTGACTCAGTTGCATCGTAACATTAATCAAGTTCCAGCAAGCGAGAATTTCTGCAAACCAATGTACACTGCCAAACAAATTTCAGAGCAAAGATCCACAGAGACCGATTCAAAAGCAACCGCAAACATACCGGCCAAGATCCAGAGACATGCACAAATGTGTCCTCGGCCGGCCTTCTTTGAACGAAACACCAGTCTGCAAGCAGTTGGTTGTCGGTTAGATGATCACCACGATAAAAAGATAAAACCTGTTTCGGCAGTGACGCCATCACATGACCACTGTCTGCCTTATTCGATTGAACAAAGAGGTCTTATACACGAAGGGTTTGGTAGAGAGCATACCTTTGTTCCTTCTAGACAACTGTCTAAGAGTTCCAGTAAACAAGTCAGCTTGGGCAAAGTTAACCCTTCATAACTGACGTGGCTCAGAAATCAGGAAAAGTTGGCCTTTACTACTGAATTGGTCCCATCCTGGGGTATTTAGCAAACGCCACGGAAATGCGAGAGATCCACCGCCTGTTTGCGTAACAAGGTCTGATGTGAAGTTTCAATTGCTGTAGCTTCATGCCGGATAATAAATAGAGGTATTTCTGCTCGATGCATCAGCTATTCCTAGGTCTAGCCGTGTTTTTGATTTTTTGTGTAAGTGCTTCAGTTTACTAAATGGTAAGACTTGTGATTTTAGGGTGTAAATCTGTGAGAGGTCGTCAAGGAAGAATAAAAAGGGTATTAATAGTTCTTATTGCATCAAAGATTGGGTCCTCACCTTCCACAAAGGCCACAGACTCCGTACATTAAAAAAAGTCATGTCTAGGAGCAGAACTTTCGTTTAACGATCTTACTTAGTGAAGTTTTACTTGAGGATTTTGTGTTCCAGCTTCAGTTGTGTAGTTCCTTGTGAGCTCTTTCTTTCTTGGTAAAATCTGATTGATACCTTTGATGTACAGTTCTTCGTAGAGAAAAGATGTCACAGGAATTCTTGCACAACATTTACTTTGCCTGGCTGGCAAAGGTAACTTCAATCAAAGATTAAACAGCCCGTCAGTAACTGTGAAGAGTTTTGACTTTACTTTAACATGGAGTACAAACGTGCGGCAGAAATTCACGGTACCGGAGCGTCTGATGTCGAAGTGATCTTTTCTTGTAGTTACAACTGCCCTCAGTTTAAAACAAAAGCTTTCCGACAAGATCTGAGGAGAACTAAGGTCTAAGGGTAAATCTCATTGGTGATGATTATTTTGTTGAAAAAAGATAAAAACACAAGGAACATTCACAGAAAAAAACAAAAAAAACAAAACAAAACAAAACAGACATAATGCTCGACCGAATAATTATCGAAAGCAATGACCAGTGAGGCATTGAACGACTCAAAGACTCTGCTCTGGAGGAATGGCGCAGAGGTATCTTTTGCTTTTGCGTGAAAACATTCATCCTGCTATGAATACTAATCTGAGAATATAGATTCTAACATTTGCACTTTTTATCGACAGGCTTCAAGAGTCTTAAGAAAGCCGTAAGACATGCCATCAAGTCTTTGGATAGAGAATGATTAACATGCATCAGAAGCTGTCGCTAATTCTTTCATAATCCAAGCCTTTTTTTTTTCTTTCCTCAGAGGTGATATCGGAGTGGGCCAGAGTGGCAAACACTGCCGAAGAAGTCCAATATCATACAAACAAGGATATTTTTAGACATAATTTCACGCCCTCGGGGTGTTATCTACGAAACTATGTCGGTAAACCACAAGCTGTATAAATGAATATGATCTGTATTTGTTGCCCTGAGAAATTCTACCCCGTTTCCACCAGTTGGGAGTTTTCTTTGCGAGTCTCATGCTCAATTAATTCTTTCCCGCCCCATTGCTTTTAGTCGAGATAAAAGCCCAGAACTGAGGCGATATTAACATGGGTCCTTGAAATTAGCTTAGTTGAGCTAGGCAGTCGTGTGTGCTCGACATCTACTTGATCAATAAAAAAGTCTACACCTCACGAACGCGCTTATTCCTACATGGTCTTTTAATTATTTGTTATAAAAGCCCGCCTCCATAGAATCCTCTCCGTCAATTCAGCGACTTCGAAGATACACTCATTAAGGAGTATCTATATATATATATATATATATATATATATATAGAACCCCGGGAAGACTTGAGCGTGTGAAAAATTACATACAGGAAGTGGGCGTGAAGGAGATAAGAGGGCCTGGGGGTGTCGGACACAAACAGCCACTAAGCTCTGCTTTCAATTCTATGTTTACGCAGTCAAGGAACAACCTTTTGGATTGTTCATTTTTCATTTATGCTGGTCTCGTTTTCCACAGTAAACCACGTTATTTGAATAGATAATGTTGTTATTGGGTTGTGTGACAATAGGACCCTTGTCACAAAAGGGTAATGACGCCGCCACACTGTAGAGTGTATTTATGTTGATGCTACATGTTTTGTCCCGCAAAGTTACAGATCAAGTACGTTTTCTCTTCATTTCTAAACTCATTTTCTCCAGAAGAGATACATAAAACCTTCCCAGACACAACAAGAAGCTAACCTGCAATACCTGTTTTATCAAGTTATCGAAACGCTTCGCTTGACTACACGGAAATTGTCCTCTTTCCCTGAGGGTTCGCTAAGTATTTTTGGTGTTTACATATCCATTGTAAACAAAAATTGCTTATTCTGACCTCTTCATGAAAGTTTTAAACTTAAGATGCAGCCTGCAAAACAGAGTTTGAATATCAGGTCACTCAGGCGTCGTCAAGCTTGGGCAGTTCTTTTTTGGCTGCGAGCGCCTATATGTCACCTGATGAAAATGGAAGTTTATTGTCATACGCGCAACGATTGTCTAAGCGAATCTCAAAATTAAAAAGACTCAAACTGTCGTTAGTCTGCAGAGGTAATTTATTCGTCTCTCGATCCAAATCAGCTGTCAAATTGATTGGCAGTTTCTCAAGGGTCTCATTACTTTGATCCAATGAAAGGAAAGAAGTATAGACAGGCTTGGAGAAGGACAAAAGGAAAGGCGGGTCACATTCGAACATGTGTCACATCACTCACGGCTTCTAACAGCGTTGCGAAGGAGACTTTCGTGGACCAATCACAGAAGCCCACAGCTCACAATCAATCAAGAGCATAGGTGCCAGTTCCAAATGGCGCCAAATTACCACCCATCACGAACCAATCCGAATATAATATCCACGTGTCGGCATTCGTTAGCCTATCTCTTGTTTAGTTGTAGTTGTAGGAAAAATGGAGGCGGATAGTCCACAGACCTCTGGAGCCTCCAAAGTCGACCTCCCGAACGATCCGGGGTAAGTTGCTCGCTTCCGCCAGCCGAATTTCTGCCAGCCGACTTCATGTTTCATTAGCACGAAATGATGGTGTGACTTAGCTGGTAGCAAATTTTCTTGTAAGCATAAATTTCTCACGTCGTCCGTTCTTCTCCCCTCAAACAGGAAGATGTTCGTCGGAGGCCTGAGTTGGGAAACAACGGCAGGTTGGATATTTTGTTGATCCCTGTATAAGTTCGGATATTGTTGCAGTCGTTAAGCGTTCTCTTCCACAAAAAAATCGGCCGTGGAGTTTGTTTTCCTACGCCGACAAAATGAGCTGAGATGAGTCACGTTTGGAACAATCGGTTGTGGTTAAGTTCACGGTTCCGTAACGGTCCATTTTTGTCGTCTGTTTCAGAGGGTCTGCAGGAATACTTTAGCAAGTATGGAGATCTAAAGGAGTGCCTGGTGATGAGGGATCCTAACACAAAACAATCGAGGTAAAAGCCAAAGTCTGGTGTAGGAAACACCGTCCTTGCTTCCACCTTAGACACCTTTGCGCGATCAGCTTTGTATTGTAAATGGCATGTCTGAAGAATATGCAATATGCAACATAATGATGGTGGCTTAAATTCTGTTTTTGTATCCATATTCCAGGGGGTTTGGGTTTGTTACTTTTGAGGATCCAGCCGCTGTAGATGCAGTGTTGAAAGCATGCCCACACGAACTTGACCACAAGAAGGTTTGTACGAAAATTTTGTGATTATTTTTTGCGCGCGCCATAGAGATGGATTCGTTCAAGACTAATTTTCACGCTCCATCCGCAAACGTCTGGCGTGTCCGTATTTTAATATGATCAAGGTACCTAAAGCTTCAAATAAACTCTTTCGATGAAATAAACCACCACCGTTTAGTTGCAAAACCTTTATTTTCATTCTGCCGTATTTTAGCTGAAAAGGGGGTGCATTTTCGCTTCAAGTGATGTTCGTGTCTGGGGAAATTAAATTCACACGACGAAGCCATTGTAATGTTAAGATGTACTCTGAGCTTCAACTTTAGCGAGTTTAACCACATCTACGCTAACACCTTGTACATATGTTTGACGCTAATGCAGATCGATCCGAAAGTCGCTGTGCCCAAGAGACCTCAACCGAAGGTAAGAACTTGTTACTGTTAAGTGCGTTAAATCTAGCGTGGAAGGGTGTTTAAATATCGTGTGATGCATATAGCTCGATCAAAAGATCAGGACTTCGAATTGTTTGCTTGACAACAGCGTGGCAGTGGCTTTCCACTTTTATGTGTGAACATTTTTTAAGAAAACTGTCCCTCTTAAAATTGAAATGCTTCACGGTTTCACGCTGTTAAGCTAGCATTTTGAGCGCAATTTGCAAGGCGTTAGTCTTTTTAAGGCCGCCCCAAACGGAAATATAACGTTCGGAAGCCAGCTTGTAAACGAGAAGGGCAGTTTCATTGGTCGCCAAACGCTTTAGTTCCGTGTTAAGATGCGAATCTGTTTCTCCAGTTTTGTATCAGGATAACGGATCGGACCCCATTTTAAGTGAAAATGCTGTTCAAAATTGTTTGTTTCGTCAGTACGCCCACTTCAAAATAATTTGAGCGAGTGAGTGTAAGGCCCCGAAGAAGCAGCTCACCTCCTACGGCGGGTTGAGCGTTTGAGAGCCGAGTTTATATTCTAACAAACACGCGATATTTTGGGGGTTTTCCCAAGCCATTACTTTTCCGCAGCGACTCGTTGTGTGTTACAGAATATATCTTTTTCTAGTTTGTTTTCGGTAAAATTGAATAATTACAGGTTCTCAAAGTCCATTTCAATGAAGACAACAAAGAAAGCTACTAGCAGCGCCGTGATTCGGTTTGCGCACCGTAATTTGCCACCCTTACCCAGTAGATCAGCTGAGCGACACTTCAGGTGAATACTGCAGGTTCAATCCCACATATTTTACTGCGTTAAACAGAGTAGTTTAGCTTGTCAACTTGGAGAGGACCGGTTTTACAATTTACCCGATGTTAAACAAACATATTTTCGTGAGAGTGCGGCTACCCGAGACTTTGTTGTTCGCCAGTGTGTTTGTGTCGGGTTCAAAACAAGTCAGACTTAGGTGCGGAGCTTTGTATTGCCACAAAAAGAGTTAATAAATTATTGCTTGCTACATACACGCTTGAGCTATCACGTCTTCAGCACCTTGAACGCAGGTACAAAATGGTAATTCTAAAGAAAATATTTCTCCAACAAGCGTTGCCACCCGAACATCTATGAATCGATGTCGTTGGCTATTTATCCTATTTAGACAAAAAAAAATGCGAAATTGTCCTAAACAGTTGTTTTGTTTTACGTTACGGACACAGTGCAATTCGGGTTTCATTTTAATATCGTAAGTTGAAATAATATTGCTCTCGCATCCGCTCATTAGTCATTTTGTGACTCCTAGAACGGTGGTGTCACACAAGCCTAGCGAATCGATGCGCATCCTTGACGACAACACTACAACCAATTTATCACCATTTCCTCTTCAGAAGAGTAGAAAATACGTTCTTTAGTACACAAATTTGGCCATTGAATGCTTTTCTCGTATCTCTGAAAGTCCTTCACACCTATTTGATGCGAAAGTAAATACATTTAAATTGTTGCTTCCTGAGAGACCTATTCAAAACTTCCTGGTTATGAAAGATACAATTTGGGCATCGAGTAAAGTTCGATTTAGGACGCAGCATAAACGCTCTCTGGTTTATTGTGTGACTTAATAAAAATCCATCAACAAAAGGATCCCAGTCCATCTTCCCAAAAAACGTATTTCGTCTGTCTATTAAACGAATTGTGTGATGGATGGCGGTGGTTTAATGTTAATTCCAAATAACTCAAACGTTTTCATTAACTCTTATCGGAATACCGTTTCACACGACAATTTTTAGATCATTTGATTTCCACAAATAGAGTGTTTTTTCCTTTCTTGCTCTTATTATAATAAACGAACCTTAAATAAACAGATGATGCAATATTGAGCCATCTTTAATTTCTCTGCGCAAACCCATTATTCTACAGAAATTGCCTACTTCTTTCGCTCAGTGCTTTTTACCTAAATAAATGATCTGCAAATTGCTCCTAAAACAAACCAAGTCAGATGAGAGCGTTTTACCCTAAGGAGACACCAGATTGTAATTTGAGTTTTATTCAACCAAAGCTTGTTCCATCATAAGCTTGCTTAAACTGTTAATGGTTTCCTCTCAATAGCCAAATAGTAGCATAACTGCAAGATTCAATTGTATAAAATAGCACACCACCAATATGTGGATTTGATAAGTACAAGTGCATTCAGCATGCCTGTTGTGGTGTGTAGACTGAAGTTAATTTATACACAGATAGGGAATAGATCATCTCTATAAAAAGCTCCATACATATGACATTGTCTCAACATCTTGCATTTCAATAAATTCTCTGAAATTACACAACTGTGTGATTGACAATGAGGACAACAAAGACCAAACATTAGAGAAGTATGGGATGCAATATCTTTGCAATGAACTAAGCTTCATGTTAAACCACTAATTCGTTTTCTATTAGTCATAATATGTTACTTTTAGTACAAATGCTTCCTTCACTTCTGAGTATTTAATATTCATAATGATGTCAGTATCATGTCTGTTCCTTGCTTTACCATTTGAATTCTATTCAAAAGAAAAACAGGACTTGGCTAGCCGAACTGTGACCCTCACGTGAAAGGAATTTATACCAACCTATTGTTGTGTTGAAATATAAGCTAAGGTATTTATTTCAAAAGTAAGATTTCTTAATTACAATGAGCAACTCAGTTATGTACATTCTGAATATGTTTCTCATCAAAATGAGCCTTAAACATTCTTTCTTACCAAAAAAACAAATGTATTTTCTCTTTTTAAGTTGCTTTTCTTCCTTGGATGAGTTCTCTGGTAGAACTATTTCTATTTTCACCAAATACCTGCTTTACAGACAGAAAACAATTGATAAGATGTGACCTGTTTTTGACCTGGCCTTTAGAAAACAAATTGTCTAACAAACAGTATCATAGAAAAATCAATGTCTGCGCACATGCTCACAACAATTCTCCTCTTCCTTACCTTCCTTTTCCCACACATTGTCATAGTTTCACACACAAAAAATAATGATAAAAGTGAAAAGCCACTTGTCTTATTAGAGACTAAAGTATTTTTTCAAGAAGTAATAAAGAGAGCTAGTGTTAAACCCTCTAAACTATTTAGAGCATGTGTATTGTGGGTAACTAAGGCTAGCATTCATTGATAAAATCAATTAATATCAATATTAGCTGGTGGATGGTCCATAATCAGGTAGCCAATCAAAAGCCTGCTGACAGTTGGCCAATGGACAGCTGACACTTGATGGCAAACTGGCTAATATTGCTAGCCAGTAACTGAGACATTGGTGACCATTGGTCCACTGTTGGTTGACTACCTGACATATTGATTATAACTGTTCAGTTGTTACATCAACCAACATGTTGACCAAGTTGTGTTCATGTTTTTCCAACCTAGCTTTTATTACAATTGTCCTGTTTTTATTGAAGACAAAGTTATAAATATGAAATTTTTAATTAATTTGCAAAGGAAAAATTTATCACCACCAAATAATAAATTTCACAAACCAAATCAAACACATCATAAAGTCCCTAAAGCTCAGTAGTAGAGCACTGAAGTGTGAAATCCAAAAGTGTGAGGTTAGATTCTGCACAAGGACTCAAAATGTTTTCTTTGGCCCTCCCGTGTGAGGACATGAAAAAAATTCTTAATTTGCAAAGTTTTTAACTTGTTTACCCAGATTGAAGTGGCTTGATAACCATACACACTCTGGCTGGTGGTAGCTTTTTATTAACAAGTAAAGCTGAATGATTCCTGAAGGAAACCTTTCCATGCCATTCTACCCTGGGCCAATCCTCAAGTTATCAAATAATTATAGATGCCGAAAAAATTACCTTCAGTACACCTGAGACCTCTATAAGCACATGCCACATACTCCAAGTTATTTGTTCAGTTTTTCCTTTGGAGGGAAGAAGCATCAACAAGAATTTAATCCACAATGAACCTCTGTGATACATCTGTTGGTTGCACTAAGCCTCTCCCAGGCTGAAAAATTTAATTTGTGTTAAATACTGTTAATCATTTAGAGAGATTTAAAAACGATTCTTATCAGTGTGTGTTATCCCCCCAGGTTTTGTTCTAGAGGATCAGCTTCATCATGAATTGTTATTCAAAACACTACATTACAAACTGAAAATAGTTTTTGCAGCTTTCATGGGATAAAAGTAGACAAATTTTATAGTAAATGGCAAAACAAAATCATACCCCTTTACAACTGTCTTTGCACCATATTGTTCAAACCAACTAAACTACCAGGGCCAACCTTATTTTAAAAGTGTAGTGCATTATTACCAAGAAATGTTTGGGAGGGCATTATAAAAGATTTTCAATGTCAGAGCACCCATAAAGGGCAGAACTGCAAGTCAACAATCATTTTTTTGTGGAATGCTAGACCTTGTCTTTTTACAATATTTCAGAGAGCAAATAATTTTTTTTCATGAAAGTTACTACTACTTTGACTTTATTGCAATACAGATTATAATATTACAATTTCAACAACCCCCATATAGCATGGGCTAATCTCGGCCTGTGTTGGAAATAACAAAATACAGAGTTACATTAAGCTAAAAGATACAGTTTACAAGCAGTTGGAAGTTTGAAGTTAAATTGAGTCATACATAAGCAGGCACAGTGAGTACAGGTAGCAGAACAAATGATAACAGTTATCATTTGCTCTACTCTCTACTTACTACAACTAGCATTAAAACAGAGAGGGAAGTTATGATAACTATAAATATAATAACTAATATTGTAAGCAGAGTAATAAATAAAGGAAGTTATAGCAGAAGTACAAAAAAAAGTTTTTTAGTGATTGTAATCCAATATTTAAGGGCAAAAGTATTTCCTTCTTGCTATCTGCATGATTTGTTAGCTGATAACTGATCACTGCCATTACATGAAGTTACATTGAAAGCAGGATTTTTAATAAAAAGTTTTATCATATATTTGATCATTATATTATTACATGTATTTTGCGCAATATAAATATTAAAGTTGTTGTTTTCAAATACTGTTATATAACTTTTGCCAAGCACACTATTTTACCAGTCATTGAGTTGTGTTACTTGTCTATTTAGCAAGTTGTTACCACATTTTTGCCTAGAGCAATTATAATAGTTCTTTCAATTTTCAGCTGGTAACGAGAACAAAAAAGATATTTGTAGGAGGGGTGTCTGCTTCCACCACTGAAGAGGACTTGACCAATTTTTTTAAACAATATGGAGAGGTAAGTTGCATATCATTCTCTAGTTTCACATTATGCACTTACTTTCAAAGGACACTTCATGAAACATAATTAACAAATTAATTTACACTGTAATGGAAGCCATGGGGGGAAAAAATTGAAAAACAAAAAATCTTAAGACTTTGACAAAAAGTTTTCAATATTTTTCCACTTTAAAATTACAATATAATAACTTTTCTACCCCCATTCATTTCTTGTACAATGACAAAATGATGATAGCCAGATAATTGTGTTTGATATTCCTAGTGGGTTGAAAATTGCCATTTTCTGTTATCCTTTGCAATTGTCTGTAATCTGTAAGACTTTGGGGAAAACTTGTAGAGGAATAACATTTGACTTGTGATTCTGCAATCATTTATGGTTCATGATGTTGACAGGTTTAAGAGATAAAGTCATTTTAATTTGTATTTTATTGTGTATGTTCATTTTGTCTGGTCTTGAAAACTTAATCAAAGGAAGGGGCTTAATTAACACACACACAGATATTTGAGATAAGATGCTAAAAAGGTTAAAGCAATTGAAAAACTCACGATATGAGCTATTTATAGTCACAACCTCTTATGTGTCCGGCTCTTGTAGAGTGTGAACGAACCTAACAATCAAAAATCTTAACCCTCTGTGACAAAATTACAATATGTAATTTACAGTCATCTCCATTCAACTTCTAGGTGGCAGAATCCAAGCTTATGTTCGATAAAGTTACACACAGACATAGAGGTAACTACAATCAATCTTTATTGTTAGAAAAATCAGAAATTTAAATCCTAATGAAATGTGAACTTTTTATGGCAGTTAGTATGTACAAACAAAACAACTTTCTTTTTTCTTTTGGAAGAAATAATCTATTTCAAGTTAAAATAAAACAACACTAGAAACAATTGATTGTTTACCAAATATCCTCTCATCCATCCAGTATGTGCAAATATTTGAATGTTTTACCCACAATGCTCTGATATTTCCAAGTTGAAATTTTAGCTTGGATATATCTGAAAATGGTATTTGTAATTTATGAGATAATTTGTGAATAATTCATTTCAACTAAAACCATACTGAATGTAACAGTTTTTGCATAACCAAAACTAATCAATTTTTTTAGTACCAATGTCCTCAAATCACACACTCATAATGAATTCCACTAATGTTCTCCCTTATATCAACCATAAAGTATACCTGTGCTCACCAGACCCATGGTTCACAAAGCCTGCACGTCAAAAACCAAACCAATCCAAAAATAACAAGTTGTGAGGTTGCTTGCGATAAGTTGCTTAAAAAATGCTGGTGTCTTTGAGTCAAGTTCAGACTTTCTCTTTTTTTTCTTTTTGGACAAAGAAATCCATTTTAAAGTTGAAAAATAATACCATTAGTGGCAATTACTGTTTTCTTTATAGCCTCTAATCCATTGAATCAGTCCAAATATTTGGCTGCACCCCATCTGCTTTGATTTTCCAAGGTCAAAATTGTAGTTAGAAAATATTTGAAAAATGTTATTTGTTATTTTTTGATAATTTGTTCATAATTCATTTCAACTATGTCCAAGCTGAACTTTCAGTTTTTCCATAGTCAAAACTGGTCCGGATTGATGAGATATTTCTTCCTTACAGCAAAAGGAATTAACGAACACCCTGAATGAAGCACACAGAAGCATACAACCCAATTTTTTCAACTTGCATCTACCATTAAACTAATGAGTGCATTCACTAGATGCCTTTATTAAGCACATGTCCACACCAAAATTAGGATTGAGCTTTAGTTACATAAAAAATGCACTATGCAGACAGCTTAATGAGAGATTTGAATACTGCGGTTTCATCTGGTTAAAGTTTAAGATTTCATTTTGTTATTTTTAAACATTTCCACCGGTGATTCATTCTATAATTTGGTAGGTAGGGAGGTAGGTAGGTAACTTTATTTGAACTCAGGTTGTTCAGGCGGATTAGGCCCCTAGCAATACATGCTAATATGCCAAGCACACCCACCCATCCTACCTCCAGGGAGGACACCACCACACAGTAATCTCGTGCGTGGGAAATTAATGTCTCCTACCCCTAACCCTGCAGGAGACAGGGCCTACGGTTTACTTGTCCTTATCCGAGTAGACTAGAATATCTTTCCATTTCTTGATATTACAGAAAGGTAGCAAATTCTCCTCAGTTATTTTAAGACCATGAGTATTGGTCCGGCTGGGGCTTGAACCCTCGACCTCCTGCATGAGACAATCTGGCGCTCTAACAAATTGAGCTCTATTCTGCACGCCAAAATGGTCCAAAATGGCCAGACTCAAAAGGATGGTAATTACTCACTTTGATCTCTTTGGTGTTAACAATTGACAACTACAGTGGAGCCTCACTTATGTAGACTCATAGTGACTGGGCTGAATACTCTGGATAATCTTGAACCAGGGCTGGGTTGTTCAAAGGTGGGTTAAGATAACCCAGGGTTAGTGTGAAATCTGATTTCAGATCCAAACGCTTTAAAAGAAAATTCACTTTAATTCTATTTGTCCACAATTTGATGATTGAATGCTCTAAAATGAATTGAAATTATCCTACAACAGCCTTTGAACAGAGAAATATAGAAACCTGGATTAAAAATTTAACCTTGGCTTAGCGCTAATCGGCCTTTGAACAACTGGGCCCAGGATAATTGAAAATATAAATATCAGAGAGCCAAAAATAAGATTGACTACATCTCATTTAATCAATATTACTCAAAAATTAGAGTATGTTCTCAAACCAAAGTGCATCATTGCCAAAATTACCAAAGTATTTGCAAAAACGTTTAACAACAATGTTTTACACCCTAAAATACTGAAGTAAAGCAGTTTGTTTCAAGTTGCTACAGGGTGTGGGTGTCCCCATAATTTTCTATCTTTCTAAGCTGCATTAATGGAATAGTGTCAACATCGTTTCAGCTCATCTGCTTTGTTTGATGGGAAAAAGTTGTTACAGACATTGACTGTGACCAATTTATATTCTTGTGAAAATTAAATCAGAGAAGCCAGTCTAGATGATCAAAAAATAAGATCATTGAGGTTCAGGCCTGTATGGAGACAGCTAGTAGACTAGATATTAACCAGATACCCTGCATAAAGCAAACACAAGATAAGAATCCCCAAGGTATTGGTAAGAAATAAGTATCCATGGGAAAGGTAGCAATGTCTAAAATATATCTCAGCTAAAATTACAGCAGAATCACATTTGAGATAATGATATCAAAATATCATTCTCTCATTATCTAGCTTTTGTAATTGTTACGGTGGCCAATTTACCATTTCAACTTTGTTGATATATTCAAAATATCTACATTTTGTGGCTCTGAGATTGTCCATACCCCACCAAGGCAGAAAGTCAAATGGAACTCCCCCCTTGTATCCTTTAGACTTTCCTGTTTTCAAAGACAAAATTTCCCCAACCCAATTCCTGAGTCTCCAAACAAATTATTTTCAACTCTTTTCCATCTGGAAAATTTTTATTGAGGAGTATAATTGTTTAAGTCACAGTGGAGACCCTGAATACTGGGTTGTCTTCCACTGCACAACTTCACCAATCATTGGAGTAAAATCTGAGAAAAACTGAACATTTTGTTTTCAGTGATGTAACCTTTGAAAGAAAATAAACGACTGAGTATCTTGTCATATTACCTTGTTGTGTAGCCATTGTGGTGTCCTTTTTTTTCATTTTCTGGGTTCTTCACTTTCGTTCAGGGGATCTTTGCTTTTTGTGTTTTTTAGTCTGTGTTCTCTTCACCAGAAGTAATGGTGACTGCATCCATGCAGAAGCAAATTATCTTCAGTAAACAGCTTCCAAGGAAATTTTTGAAGAAAGAAAATGTTTTTTAAATAAAATTATTATAGTAGAAATTGAAATATTCTAAATGTAATATTTAAATCTATTCTATTTTCCATATACTAAAGAAACTAATATAAATGACAGTTAGTCCTCAGCCCAGTATTAGTTGGCTTTTGTCTAGATCATAAAAAAAAAACCTTCCTTTGAGGTTAAAGCTTTTGCAGTTTTTTTTATGTTCACTTTCTAATGAGAATATTTTCTTATTGTCATTTTTAAGGATTTGGCTTTGTAACATTTGAAACTGAAGATGCAGCTGAAAGTGCCTGTGAGGAACAATTCCACCTGATCAACGATAAGAAGGTATTCTAAGCTGCTAATACATGCACCTCATTATACCCATAAATTGTACCACTCTCAAAATAACCTCTTTAGATAGGCATTTTCAAGTATATTCAAGTGATAAAGAGATATTAGCTTTGCAAAAATGGTAAAACTTAGAGGATGATTTTTCTTCCAGTCCTTCACAATTGATACACATGGTGCATTTAATTTTGCAGACTGAAGTTAAGAAAGCGCAACCTCGAGAGGTGATGCAAAGTTTGCAAGGTGGGCGTGGTAGGGCTGGTAGGGCCTTGGCTGGACGAGGGTTCTGTAAGTACAGAACATCTTTGTTATGTGGCCACATAACTTACATTTCATGCAATCACCTGGCAACTGTACATGTATGATCATGTGATAGAGTTATGGTCACGTGTGACAGATTTACAGTCTCACTGTTGCACCACAATAATCTTTACCTACACAATTGTTAACATTGATGACATCATAATCTCAAGTTTTATTTCACATGAGCTTTTGCAATACTCCTGTAATTTCTCCTTACAATATCAACCCTGAATCTTACATCATGGTCACAAGAATAATAGAAATGATCACCAACTGAAGAAGCTTTTTGTTAGCTGGGGTCACACTACAGACTTTTACCACATGGGAATTGATTTGTGAAGGGAATTTATTGAGAATATGCATCCTGATGTTAGGGTGTACAATCAAACCGAGAGTTCCCAAATGCATGCAATGTTCTGAAATATGCTCAAAAGTTCTAACACCCCTTTCACTTTGCTTTTAGTGTATCCTTTCCATCCTGGGTTTCCTCGAGGCTTTCCTCTGTCAGGCTTTGGTCCTGGTTTTGGTAACTACCCATTTCCAGGTAAAATATATTTTAAATTAGTTATGACCTAAATTCATATGATAGAGATTTAGGAACAAAGTGGTTGAAAGTGAAGCAAGGAAACATAGCAAAATTCTAGAGGACTAATTGGCTTGTTGTCCCAATTACCAGGCAAGATTATTTAAAGAAAAGGCAAAAAGAACCACATTTATACAACAAGAAACACATAATGTGGGTCAGAAGTTAAACAATGCATTATTTTTTACTTCAGCCTATGGCCTTATGTACTGTGTTGTACATCCTCATTCAGTCCACAATTTCACCTCCCAAGCTGTTTCATATGTTTTCTTTCCAAGAATACTGTGTTAAAGAACTCATCCAAATGTCATCACGTTTGAACCAACCAGGAAGTCAGGCCAAGATTGGAAATGGCCAAAATAAGGCTGATGATTGAAATTTATTATTGACCTGCACTTACATTCTTAAGTAATTTTCTAGAGCTAGAAGTGGAAGTGTTCATTTGCTACAATTTCCTGTGATTTTTCCCCTTTTGACTCTATATAGGTGGGTACAGTCCTGCTGCAGCAGCAGCATTTGCAGCACAGAACAGGCCGGTGAGAGGTAAAGGCCGTGGTTACTTAGGGAACTATCCCGGAATGCTTGGTAAGTGAAGTTACATCTTTTGCAACATCTTTTATTTTGGCACAGTTAACAATTATGCCTGCCTACATGAAACTTCATGTTTTTCTTAATACTTCGTACTGCTAACATCTAGAGAATTATCTCAAAGGGAAAGGGCAAGCTTACATCTGCTTTCATATGGAATACAATGGCTTCCTTTGTTTAGAAAGACTGGAATCAGTGTTTTGAATAAACTGTCTTGTAACTATAAGGGAAAGACTTTCTTCATATAAAATAACTGAGGTATTACAAGCACCAGAAAATTGAAACGTTTTATGTTTATTCTATAAAAGGAATGGACCGCACTTTTATTTCTTTACTGGCATAAAAACCCCCTCAGGATGTTGGTACAACACTCCAAAAAATTGGTAAATCAATTGCCAGTGAACGAATCTGCATCTTTACAAAAGCCATAATCTCCACTAATACTTTTATCAAAACTTTTATTATACTAAAATCAGGTTATGGATTCCAAAATATATGACCCTTTTCATTTGATGCAAAACTATATTCATTGTATTCTGGATTATACTTTTCTGCATACGCAAAATTCAAAGCATTTCAAGGAGGAATGTGCCAAGTTGCAAAGGAAAGTCTTTTTTATAGCATGGTTTAAAGTTGTGTCAGTTGTGTGCTTTAACCAAATTAACTTGAACTTTCACCTTATCTTTTACTCCTGGTTACAGTGGCTAAACTATTTGTTTGTTCAAACTATCCCAAAAAAAGCCTTTGTTGGGTTTAGTCAACAATTTTATCTATCAATCTTTTGAGCATGTATATCCCCTTACTGTTGCAACTTTTTCTTGCTCTTCTAAAACACTAGCATTTAAATTACTGTTTCAGGTTTTCCTGGCTACCCTGCTGGATTCATGAATCCCCCTGACCAGCGACGAACAGCAGGAGGTCAGTACTATGCAGACTATGCCACAATAAGTAATCAGGGAGGCCGCTCAGGACCCAACAGACCACCTGACATTCCACAAGTTAGCCCAGCCATGCAGGAATATACTGACTATCAGGGTATGGAAATATGTCTGCTGTTGTCATATATATCAGTCATTTCCAAATTTTTTTTATTCTTTCCATGGTATCTCTTTGTCAGCAATTTTGAACTGGGCCAGAGATTGAATAGCGAAGAAAGGATCGGATTTTCTCTCTTCATTTCTCCTTTCCCTATCCTTGCAACACTGTTAACCCTCTAACCTGCAAGATCAGATTATTAATTCTCCCCTCTTGCTGTAACACATTTCTTTTTAACTTAGTAACAAGAATTTGGCATTTGATCAAAAAACAACTTCAACCTGAAAAGTTTGAGTATTCTCATTATTTGTTGGCTGGATATTGTATAGATATTATAGGGAGAAGTTAGGAGTGAATCATTTCTGGAGTTAAGGGTTGGAAAGCAGGGGTGGGAGTGCTTGCCTCCCTTTCAGCCTCAAAACCCTTCAAAAAATGTAAAGACATTGTTATCAAAGGGGCCAGTTTACATTTATCAACTTAGTTGATAAAACCAAGTCACCTTGTTACCCTCACCGACACAGTACCACAGCTTAGGTTTGGCTCGACTTGGAATTATATTTGGGTTGGGTTTGCTGTTGATTTCCATGCTGGCTTTGAAGGTTTTAACTTGGTTTTCCTCACATCTCAGAAAGGAAACAATTCAAGTACTTTTATCCTATATCACACATCTAAATATGTGAAAAGAGAATTTACATCTAATTTGAAAATAACTAATGGTAGTTGCACCAGCCTTCCTTGGCTTTAGCCAAGACATAGTTTGTCAGACATTGACCATTGACTTTGGTACATTATAAATACCACTAACATTCACACTAAACATATTTGATACCTGCACAAGGGATAACTTGTGGCTCTTTTGTCCCTCCTCCTGAAAAGGATGGGACATTAAACAATTAACACAAAAATAAACGAAGTACAAGAATGACCAACCTATGATCTAATAAATGTAAATCTCTAATAAATGTAAATCTCACTTATTTGTAGACAGTTTTTGTTAGTATTTTTTCTTCTTAGAAAAAAAATAGCAGATTTCCCCTTACTAATGTGGTTAATTAAATCATTCAAATGCATTTAAGTCTTCTGGTAGGTATTTACATCATTCAAATTCACAGCATTTGATTAGTAAATTAATTTCCATAGGCATGAATTACCATCATACCCAGCAATTTGGTCCTCCACCACCCTCACCAGTATCCAGGGCATTTGCCCCTTCTGCAACTAGTCCAGGACCTGTTCAAGATCTAAGCAGCTACATCAATTCTGCTGCAAATACTTCAGCAGATGGTTTGGGGTACACTGCCACCAGCCCTCAGCCTACAGGCTTTGGTCATGCCATGGCGGTAAGTCACCAGAACATTGATAATGTTCAATTTTATTTCTCTCACTGGAAGGTTCATTTTAGGTTAAGCTAAGGAGTTTGTTCATTTTGTTTCAAATAAATTTGGTATAATTTCTTTCTTGAACAATAAACATTACTATTATAAAACACGTTACTGTCATAGAACAGTTAGAATAAACTTAGCTGCACTCAGTGCATGGTTTATTCCGTATTGTAATTAAACGAAATTTGAACAGGGTCAATACTGTATTTCCTCTAATAAGTCCCCTCTCCCTTGGCCATAAATACATCTTTCCATTCCAGTTATTTCTTTCTCCATGTTCCTTTATGTGCGCTATCATTTCTTTTAATTTTTGTCCTATTGCTGTGCTAACTTAATAAGCCCCCCTTTGATTAAGAACACCCTCTTCCAATAGGCACCCCTCCTTATGGACAAATAAGCTCTTGGGTGCTTATTTGATGAAAATACAGTAAGTTCTATATTCACATTTATTGACACATCAATTATTCATAACAAATAGGCACATTAATTACTTTGGAAGCTAAATGCCTCCACACTTCCTTTCACTAGTAACCTAGCTTATCACACAAATCTAAAATATTAATATTATAGAATGATGTGGTAAACTAAGGGAGTTAACGTAAAACTTACAGAAGATGACCAAGTTTTACTTCAAATGATAAAAAAACTATAATAACCAGCTGTGAAACTGCATGATAACAAAGAGAGCAGAAATTTATCCCAATTACATGTATAAATTATGCAATTAAATTGATTAATTACATTCCAATTCATTTTGACAGTTCTGATGGAGGAGTGCATCATTGTAAGTACTTATTAATAACTAAGGATATTTAAAGTATTGGTGTCCAGTTTTTTTTTAAATATGCATCAGTTTTGGTTATTAAGGCTTAAAAACTAAGTGCTGAGTTTAAAACTTGACCAAACTGTTATACTTTGATCAACTGCCTCATGAATATCCCTTAACCTTTGAACACTATTTCATGCAAAATGCTAGATTTTGTTCCAGTTTCATAACCTAGTTCAGCTACCGACAAGGCACGTGTGGCAGGTGTTTATGAAACTATGTAACATTATCTTTCTTGCCTTGGTCACCTACCATATTTGATGAATGGTTTGCCTTCCCCAAACATATATTGATGTAAAATAATTCAAACTTACTTTTAGATGGTAGGATTCTTAATTCATTAAGTTTGACTAAGATAAGATGACCTAAGGTTTAAGCAACAGAATGCATAATTTTTTCTGGGCTCTCTAATGTGATAAAGCCACGCGGGAGGTAAGGAGAACACGAGGAATTTGCTAATAATAAATCACAAGCCTAAGGCAAGTGATTGATAAGCTTTCCAAGTGTTCTCCCAACATCCAAAGTGGCTTTATCACGTTATAGAGTCCGAAAAAAATGCGTTTCATTGCTTTTGTGATAAAACATCCGCTTGAAAACTGAATTGACCAATCCGACGATGTGTAACTTGTTCATATATGTTATAGAGGGCAATAAATTACTAATAGGTATATTGGTAGGCATATTGAGAACATTACACCAGAATTCAAATTAATACCTACTAAAATTCGGGGCGAAAAAGGAATCGTCAGATATCAGTAAAGTAGGGATCGAAATAAATAGATTGATTTTAGAAAACAAATACTGTCAAACTCGACCTCAAAAACATTTTCACCTCTCATCAAAATGAAAGCTAAGCTAGCTACTCTCAAAGAAGTACATTGAAATACTTAAACTTTAGGTTTAAATCACTGAAATTTTAAAAACTGTTTAATACGAGGGGCATTCCTCATCTAAAAGCAAAGCTAAACAATAAGCGCGATTAAACAGCTTAACTACATATTTGAATTTACATTCCTGTCGACATTGTCATGCATAATTAACATTTCTACATTCTTTTAGCTTACCACACACTTTCCTTTCTGTTTTAGATTTCCGTTGGCCACTAAGAAGCTTTGGTAAGTAGGAATCAGTTGTTTGTTTTCCCACCGAAGGTTAAGCTATTATTCATTGACAGGGATCTGGTGCGAGCGGTGCGAATGAAAAATTCTACTTGTCCCGAGTCCAGCGCTTCCAAACTTCCTGGAAATTTTTTTTTTTGCGGTCAAAAATCTTTTCTCCTTTTGTTTCTTTCTTTTCTTTCTTTCTTCTTTCTAATCGTTCTAGTCATCTCTAATTTCATTTTGTTTGCATCTCTTTCAAAGGCATGAGATGCTGATTGTTACAGGTCCAATTTCTGCATTTGATGAGGTTTGAAGACCATTTGAAGTACCGGTACCAAACTATTTTGTCTCGATTTACGAGTCAATTCATCTCGATATAATTCTCCACCTAATCAAAGGTGGAACGTCTTTTGATGGTCAAAATGAAATTTAATTATGTCAGTTGTAGAGATATTTCTAGTTTACGTATATCTTGATTTACATGACCATTTTAGTTACAAGGCAGACTGGTCACATCTTAGATTCATTAATAGAAGTAGATAGCAGTTGTTTACTATAGCTCGGTGTGTCTAGATTTCTTTGTAGTGGATAGTTACAACAACTAAATTTGCTGGATTCGGTGAATAAGTCAACCTGACTCTCATTTAAAAGAGTTCAGAGGCTTGGCGACTCGGAGTCAGATTCATTCCAGGAAAGTATTAAAGGAAAACGGATTGTTTTACTTATATAGTAGTGATTTACTTAAAATGAGAGAATTTTCAGGTTGTGATGTTTTGTTGTATTCCGGTCGATTGGAAAACCAACAAGCTTAAGAGGAAGTAAGAGTTTTCATGGCGAAGTTTAGTGGTACTGAAGAGGAGTAGTGTTTCTATCAAAAAGGGATAATGGATCATTTCCATGGGACTGCTTTGCAGCCATTTCCGGTGTCGTCACGCCGGGCGATTAACTCCCCCAGTAACGACACCGGAAATGGCTGTAAAGCAGTCTACATTTCCATGAGACTGCCTCAAACCGATTGTCATACTGTTTAGATTTAAATGCGAAAACATGATTCCAAAATCACGAATAGTACCGGCATTTAATTTCGCAGCAATACATACTGCACTTTCCATCGTGCACCAAGGGTCTTAAAACTTAAAGAATTCTCCTATTTTTTTTTTTTTATTGAAAAGACTCCGTATACAGAGACGATATCTAGATTTCCGTTTAGTACTACATTTGTTTGTAGTTTCGAAAGAGGAATGATTATATTTAGAAGTAACGTAGAATGTGCGAGTCGACGTAATGAAGATAGGTAAGCACGGTTCTGCATAAAGTAAGTACGGAATAGTAAAGGTATATTTGGGTTTCAAGTTAAACTGCAGTGTATAGCGAGATAGGACTAGAAAAAAAGGGTTAGCTGTTCTCTCACGCCCCCCAGAGTGTGTCATATTCTATGTATGTAAAGGACATCAAATGTCAATCTCGATTTCGTTTTATTTCCTCCTCTTTCGTTGTCTGATTTGTGGTATGAAAACTGTTTACATTTTGGTTTGTCAGTTTCAAAAACTGACGTTCTACGAGGAGTAGGTGAAGGCAAACAAGGGGTTTTGGTCGAGGTTCGATTTATTTTCTTTTTATTCGTTAAGGTCGTGAAAGACCTCACCACAAGTTTTCTATCTAAAAAAAAAAACCTGTAGGGTGTTTACCCAGAAACAGAGCCCCTTCCCTGACCCAACAACAATGAACCAATTACAGATAGGGTTAATGTTGGGTCAGGGGAGGGGCGGTGCGCAGTTTCTCAGATGCTGACGTTTTTAGTTTCTTTTCTGTCTCTTTGTCGTTGTTTTATAATTTGCTTAACATGTAAATCACTCCGGCACAGTAGTTTGCTTTCATTTGCTCCTTGTAACTTTGAGAAAACTTAGACATTAGCATTTTGTGGCTGTTTTGTGAGGGAATTCATTATCAATTGTGACGCCACTTTATAAGTGACGGCCGCAAGACTGAGAAAAAAGTAGTGCACAGATAGTGTTTTAGAAAGTTTCAAACAACGAATGAGTTAAGTTATTTAAGTTTTCTCAAAAGAAAATTAATGATAAATCCAAAGGTTTTATTCGTGAGCATGCGTCGCGCACAGCCAAGAATGCGGAACGAGTTCAACGTTTTGCCACTCTAATAACTTATCAAATATTACCCTGCGAGATAGGGATCCTCTTATCTTTCCTCTTACTTAAAATAAGAATCTCTATACGCATTGCCCATGGGTGAGCTCCACACAACCATTTCGGGACCCATTTCAAGCCCAGAGTCATTTCGACTCCTTGTCAGCGGTATATGATTCATACCGCGGACAAGAAGCCATTATCCGTGGGCCCGAGAATCGCTCGGAACGAGAATGTGAAATTTAATACGTCATTATATGATACCGTTTCATAGTAATAGAGCTAGAGGTGATCGCTGTCTCGCAGGGTAACCAAATATCAACGTGGTGTAGATATTTCAAAGTGGCCAAACCAAAGCGTGAAGTCAGCGAATAATGTACACGTCAGGTCCTGCTCATTTAAATTATTTGTAGAATTTGTCACGTCTATCACAAGGAGATCATTTTCAAAATGTTATCATTTACAATTTAAATCTCTCACATGTATTTTCTAGTTGCATCTACTGGCGACAAAGAAAGATCCACTCGATCCTATCTCGCTGCGAAAAATGTGTCCTCACACTCTATCTTGACGTGATAAAATGACCAGGACTTGGTCGGAATATTAGCGGGAGCCAACCGTTAGAGGCCTGGCTGATAAAAAATGAATTGATTCCCCATTCCAAAGTGAAAATTGAAAGCGTACTCACAAAGAATTCGAGTACCATGTATTTATTCTTATCTTCTATTTTCTTGATAATCTATTATTTCTAAATTATATTGACATTTTATTATTTGACGATCCATATACTGTAGTTACAAGGCCATTTGCTTTACAGATATATTTCTTAATCCACTTCCATCTTAAATTCAAAGGAACACAGTTGTCTGTTTTTAAGAGGCAGAGTTCCTTTTTCTGTCACGGTGGAATAAGGAATAATCAGATTCAAATCGGGAACAGGTAAAGTGGATTGCTTCTTAATTTGAAACGCAAATTGTTCTCAAGAAAAATGTATTCTCTGAGGATTATTCCATTTTTATCGAGTGAACCACGAAAATTTAAGAAAGAAAACAACTAACACTAAAAAATTAAATCTCATTACCAAATCTATTTCTTTTCTTTGTCTCGCTAGAGCGAACCGAGACCAGTAGAAAAAAATTCCTCAATTCCAACTTTCAAGGGGGTGTGACTTTTTATCCTTAAAAGAGAATGTGTTGTGACTATCAAAACGTTTTGTCATTGCTATAGAACAAGTCCTTGCTGCAAAAATCATGAACCTAGAACCCAGTAGTGCGTTCTTCCCTGTATGGCCCGAACGCTTTATCTTTTTTTTTTTTTTTTTAATGATGGTAACACTGCAGAGCGTGTTAGTGCGTTCTTTTTTAATAATTACTAGAAACCCTGGCTTACCTGAACCTGCATGTCATTGAAACATTATTAATGTAGTTGCTAAATCACTGATATGACGGAATTTGTGTGATAAGCACTCAAAGCAACAGCCTCAGTCCCATAAGGAGATGTCACGCAATGCTATTCTCCATATGGGAGCATTGCATGACCTTCGATCAACAACTTCCTTAGGGGGGCTCACAGGATATCCCCACTGAATTTTATTTGACTAGTTAGATTATAACCAGTATTGCTTGTTAAGAGTATTGATAATGAGTAGCAGATTTTGAAACGTAATACCATTCAAATGCGTAATTTTATAACAAATTTATCTTCTACCACATGTTTGTACTTATAGTTTTCCCGCTTAAAATAGTCAACAAAGGAGACTAACCAAAGGTGTAAGGTGAAAATTTTAGAGATGACAGAATTGTATTTCATCTAAATATAGGAGAACTTGTTGGTTAGTATCATTGTTTCTCCTTTGTTGACCGTCTTAGGCTGGAACACAAGTTTGTGATAAAAGGTTATTAAACGTATTTTATTCAAAAATGGAGAGTAAGTATATATTTTCAAAGGTTTCTTAAAATCGTTCAAAACTTTGAGAGAAATCTTGATGCAAGTGAAATGTTTTGTATGTGTCGCGATCTTTAGTGGGTAGTGGTTTAAATGGTGCCGCGCGTAGAAACAGCAAATATCCCTCTTAGGCGTTGAATTGTACAGGCAATATTGACATATTATTACACGACTCGGGCAGTCAGAGGGCCAATAACTAAAATCAACCAATCAAAATGCTCTATTGCCGGTCGATATTCTCTCAGTATTGGACCGGGCACTGTCCCGAATGGTCCCGAATGATACCGCACTTGTGTCCCTTTGAACTTCAGTGGTATGATAAATCTCTTATTAACCAAGCTTGCTCGGGACCGACTGGAAGAATATCGGCCCTCGGTTTTATTTGTACGGACCTCGCTGCGCTCGGTCCGTACTGTCAAGACCTCGGGTCGATATTCTCCCAGTACGGCCCTCGCGCTTGGTTAATAAGATATATATACACTAGACAAGATTTTGATGCTATAGAATTGTCATTATTCAACCTAGTTGCTCTCTTTTTCAAACATAGGGCAATTTAAAAGTATGAATTGGTAGTTTGGTATCTTGGGACGCTTTGTTTTTCATTCGTTCAGTGAAAAAAAATTATTTGTGAGGAAAGTCAATCTGTAGTGTCACTACCTTGTCCTGGTGTTTACATTTAAAGTGCTAATGAAATAGCTCATAGCAGCTCTCGCCATAAACTACGCTAAGAGCGAATTAGTGTGGAGAAGAATAGGCTTGAGTTTCCCTGAGGGAGCCTCGTACAGAGAATAAGTAATATCAGACAAGAGAAAGATCTAAAAGCATTTAGGAGTTGTGTCGACTCTCTCTGGGTAATCAGAGTACGTAGTTCATTTGAAGTGTTGGTTTTATCAGATGAAACCGTTTGCTACTAGTTTTAATCTACCTAGTCATGCTGTGTTTAACACTCGGAAATCTAGTCCTTGAAAGATGTATATGGCTGTATTTGAATCAATAAAATTTGTACAGAGAGGTTTGTGTCTGATTTCCTTTCCTTGGTTCTATGTCTCTTACTGAATCTTATTTTTGGAAGATTAAAGGGAAATCCGATTCTAATAAACATAGCTAACATTTAACAAATATTCGCCTCCGCCAAACTCAATAGCGTTTTGGTGCTCAGTGAATTTGAATTTTCTCCTATTGTATTGATCACTTCCTCGGAAACATTGACACAAAGGAAGGCAGTCATTTCTAAATTTTGCGTTCCTGCTATGATCACTTCGCGCGAGGGGATTAAAGCAAGATAGGACAGAATCATCGACCAATAAGACAGCGTGCATCTCTATAATCACCTGAGTATTTAAACTAACAAGTAGCAACAGTGGTTTACAACTTTTACTATTCCACCGCTATGCCATTTTACCATATTAAGGCAACGGACCGAGAAAAATTTGTCTCAGTGTTGCTGGTGTCAGTAGCTACAGGCAGCAAAATTTGAGTCTTAAATTTGGAGTCTGCTCAAGACAATTAGTAACAGCCGAATTTTCTTAATTTAATGAATAACCATATTTTCTAAGGTATGGGTCAGGTATGGGGCTTCGCTCGCGCTTTTTTCGGGATAAAGCTCCGTTGTACTATCACCAAGCCCTAAACTTGAGAAAAATTATTCCATTTCAATATCCAAAACTAGTTACTGAAACCTTAAGGTTATCGGAAGCAAAGCCATCAAAGATAAAACCATGAAAACAAAACAAAAAACTTAAGTAATATATTTAACTTGAACAGGATGAAAATGATTCTTTGGGGTGGGTGTTCGAAGAACTGAAACTTTTTGCGGAAGACCTGGTGACCAACTGACCACACATGTGACTCGACCCATTTTCATCTGTTCAAGCAAATATCAGGCCCTGGTTGTTCAAAGGGTAGATAACATTATCCACAGGACAAATCTCTATCCGGTGGATAGCGAAATAAGTTTTGTTACCACTTATCCGCTGGATAGCGATTTATCCATTTCATATCTTTATCCGCCATTTGAAAAACCGGGCCCATGACGGCTAAATAACACGCGAAATGAAACGTAAAACTTTTCTACCAGTTTGCAGTAAATAGCGACGTTTTATCATCTGTCTGCTAGCTGCTTGGGTTTTATTTTCCAGTGAGGCTTTAATCGTTGTTTGAGAGCCGTCAGCCATGTGTTTTTCTCGAGCTTGATTGAAAAGGTTGCAAGGCCGAGTGGTTAGGGTGCTTGACTTGTAATCCGGCCGGTATCGCGGGTTCAAGTCCTCCACCCTGCCACTCACTGGATTTGTTCTCGGTTGCCCCTAGTTCAACTCCTCGGCTACACTCTGTAAATAGCCCAATGGTCTGCCTCCTGCCAGTGGGGATTTTCAAGCACTTACTAGTTAGTCTACATTGTAGCTGAAAAGCCCCTTTGGGGGAGCTTCAATTAACATATATTGTTATTATTATTATTATTATTATCATTATTATTATTATTATTATTATGATTATTATGATTATTATTATTATAATCGCAGTAAGGAACTTCTAGATGCTGAGCTTACTAAAAAAAAAAACATAGGGCGTAACAACATAACCTATGTCCCTACCGGGATAATAACTTTCTATAATATACAACGTGCAGAAATGGTGGGAAACTAATAAAATTAATTAAGACAGCTCGTGTTCCTTTAAAAACCTTCTCGGAAACGCGGATATCAACACTAGTCACTCTCAATCTCGTTGAATATTTTTTTAATGCTCACAGATAAAATCACTCCCTATCACCACAGGCAGCCCAAGCTCACTGCTAGAAAAGCGGAGGCGACTCTTACCGCGTTGCGCAACGCTTTATATGTATAAAGGTTTGTATGGGATCAGGGGCGGATCCAGTAATTTTTGATTGGGGGGGGGTCCAAACTTTGGTTCAGAAAGGACTGTTGGACTCTTTTGAGGCAAATTACTTCTCCCCCCACACACTCCCCACACACCCCCTCCCACCAGTCGCGGTTACACGTTATAATTCCTGGGCCGCTTCAGTACCGTTTACTTGGATTCATTAAAAAGATCAGCCAGTTAAAAAGTGATATACGATCCTGTCGATGTAAGATTTTCAGTTTGAAAGTTGTAAGCGTCAGGTCTGTAAGGAGGGGTCTGGACCCCCAGACCCTTCCCCTGGATCCGCCACTGGGGATGTCATCGGTTTGCCTTAAAAGAGAGAAAAAAATGTCTTGTTTTGAAATAAAATGGACTTACCTTATTGCCATGTTGTTTTCTTTGTTGATTCCTAGCGTCTCAGGCCATTTTGAAGCGTTTTCGGCGAGTTAGCACTATGTTGGTGTTCAAGTTGAGGAATCAACAAAGAAAACAACTAGGTAATAAGGTAAGTCCATTTTATTTCAAAACAAGACATTTTTTCTCTCTTTTAGGCAAACCGATAACATCCCATACAAACCTTTATAAATGTAAAGCGTTGCGCAACACGGTAAGAGTCACGTCCGCTTTTCTGGTAGTGAGCTTGGGCTGCCTGTGCTATCACTCGAATCTCCTCTCAGTCACTGTCACCCCTTTTTTATTGAATACACCCGCGATCAGATTTCTAAGGAAATACAATCTACGTCATTTCTAACATCACCCGCTGATATAAAACGTAACGCTAATCAAGTGTCACGCCCTTATGACTGTCACGTTCTTATATATTTCTAATAACCCAATTTAAAAACGACGTCCTAACATTTGCTAGAAAGACTGGCCACTGGTTACTATCAATTTCGCTAACTATTTACAATCTATCTTAAAGTCTATTAGACAGCAACCTTGAATGTCCGAGCGATGTGGAGCGTTTTTGAAATGACCGATCTCTGCATTAGCCTTAAGGTTTCTCTGCATCTAGAACCTAGGAGCTTCCTGATGGATCTTTCCATGTCCACACTCCAGCCTCCCAACACATCTATGATCAAGTTGTATTGGTTGATCTTATAACCCTTGTACTGTGCTTTCATCTCCCTTCGAAGCAGTCCATACTTGAGTGTTTTCTCTTCATCTTTCTTGCCACGATTCTCAACCCACGGACAGCTCATCTCAATGATACTCACTGTCTCTTCCCGATGACCGACTATCCTCGCATCCACCCGGTTTGCCCTCACCTCGTTATGCTCTGCATAGACGGGAATATCCCAAAACGCTTGCACAACTTTGGATTCGTACAGTGGCTTGGGTTTTATCTTGGAGTACCACGGGGGACCTCGTCAACCAGCTTTTAAAAGATCTCGCAAAAGCTCAAAGTATAACACCTTTAAAGCCGCATTATGCCTCTCCAGGTATTTACTTTGGGCCAACGCTGAACACCCCGCGATCACGTGTGCCATACTCTGTGGTGACGTTTGCAGGGGTGGTACCAATGTTATGATTGGAGTATACCTTTGTTGGTAGCATCTACTCATGTAGCTCCATCATACCCGCGATCGTATGAGTCGGTGCGCGTTGCCAGGTCGTCATCCACGCGAAACATTCTAGTCTACTCAAGTCTTCATCATCCCATCTGGATGTTAAAAGGTTTCCGCCTTGCCACCTCTCTCCTCGGATTTTTTCGGCGTACTGACCTCTAACTCTCTGCTTTAACTTATCCTTAATCTTCTCCTTCGACACTTCCTTGCCTTCCTCATCATACAGCTTCTGGTTGGGGTACGACAAATTCAGAGACACCCAACTCTTCATCAAATTTCCCTGCCTCTTTCACGAGTGACCAGTGCCCTTTAACAGCAGCTTGTTCTTCAAAAGCGCGCACTAGGCCCATGGTAGGATCTTCATTTCCGTATAACTTAACAGCTGACTTGATAAGAAATAGCACACTAAACTGCAGTTACAAACATGACAGTAAAACGCATGTTGGAAAACAAGATTAGTAAACTTTACTTGACGTTTCGTATGTTTCGACATACATCTTCAGAAGTGACAGTTAATAATACACATAGCGACTAAGTTTAAATTTAAGATAAGTAACTACTAAAAATTAGCTGACTTGATTTTAGTCTGCTTGTATTCAGTCTCCACTGACTTAAAACCACGCCCCCCCCACGTGTCTAGGGAGTTGCAGGAGTGCAGTTGACCCAAGTGGGTGCTTCCCGCCATTCTCGCAGATGATTCTACGAGATTCTCTGTCGATGTTAGAAAGGTCCGTTACACACCATTGCTGAGACCACATGAGATATGACAACACCGGCAATGCAAGTTGGTTGGTAGCCGTGACTTTGTTCTTATCCGAGAGGGGACTAGATCAAAAAACTGATAACCTCTGTAGGTAAGCACGAGCTGCAATCTCTAGAACTAGTTTCTTCTCCTGTAATAGGCGCTCCGGCGTTCCCAAGAAGCGATATTGCGCATCTTTTTTCAAACAGTTGATTGCCGCCTGACCATCAGTGAAGCCATTAGAGGTCTCAGACACTACTCCGCGCCGTGCGTGCAAGACATTGCACTTTTTGGGGTTCCACTGAAGTCCCACATTTTCCATCACTGTTTTCGCCATCCTCAGCACCCTGTTCAGCTTTTCTTCAGACGCCGCGAACACCTTAAGATCATCGACTTAGAGGAGATTGGTGACCTTGGACGCAATAGGTTTTGAAAGCCCATATCCTTCAGCGGAGCTTAACTTCCACGCAACAGAGTTAATGCATAGAGTAAACAGGCGTGGACACAGCGCATCCCTCTGTGGGAGGCCTCTGTTGAACCGCATGGGTGGTGACAGTTCGTTACCCTTCACGGTGTGTATCTTTGTGTTCCAGCAATTGCACAGCTTACAGACAACCTCACAAATCCATTTATTATTATTATTATTATTATTATTATTGTGCAGTGTACACTTATAGATGCTATAATAAATAAAAGAACATAGGGCGCAAAGCGTAGCCTATGTCTTCTTAAGAAACGTACGTTTACACAGATGACTATGCTTATGTCTAAAAACTAAATATTCCCTTAAAGTCTCTACAATATTCCCTAAAAGTCTAATGAAGAGCCATTTAATTGAGGTATTTTTATTTTTTCATTTATTTAACTAATAGACTTATCTGAATGAATCCTTCCCTGAAAAACTTTAGATCTTTACCATATGCTTTGGTAAAGGTAAAGCCTGTTTACGAGCCTATTGGCCCATTAGGCCGGTGCTTAACTCCGGTTTCTGTAGCACGAAGCGACTAGGAGTATTTCTACTCCCCCCTGGATGGGATGCCAGTCCATCGCAGGGCTACCCCCAGCATTAAATTGCCGGTACCCATTTATACACCTGGGTGAGGAGAGGCACTGTGAGAGTAAAGTGTCTTGCCTAAGAACACAAACCAATGTCCCGGCCGGAGTTCGAACCCGGACCACTCGATCCGGTCAAGCGCTCTAACCATAAGGCCACCGCGCCTTCACTTGCCATATGCTTTAACATACTTATTTATTTATTATTTATCTAGTCATTCACTAATACGGTATTCTTTCCTATTGCGTGTTTAGAAACTTATTCAAAGTACATTTCAAAAAATGAATAAATAGCAAGACAATTCGAATCAAAACCAAGCGTAAGCTTTCTGTGGAAAACTAAAAACCTGCTGGATAAAAATCATGCTATCGGAGGATGAACTAAGCCTACCCATCTCATGGCACGGTGCGTGAGTAGTTGCGTAGGTACTTATCGAAGAAGCCTCGGCACGACTTTGTATTCTCGAACCAATATGGCGTCCAACGAAGACTGGCGTACTCCAGCTTTCCGCCAAAAAGTTATTTCTCAGATGTAAGTATTTTAGCTGTTCTTTATTCTAGGTATAGTACTCAAGAGCGATCGCGGCTTTTTTAGCTCGATAGAGATCCTTCCATTTGTGTTTTATGCGCCTTTTCAACACTTCGCACACTTCCGCTTATAGCGAGGAAGCAGTAAAAAGATCGGGGAATCCCAATGTAATGATGAAGAACCCCAGTGACATGGAAAATCAAGTATTTCTGAAGGCTAAAACAAGGGTAAGTGTACTTTTACACCATTTGATATCTTGGCATGACTCAAGATCAACGTGTTTGTCATACGAATACTGATACACAAATTTGATCACCTAGTAATCGTTACCCTCCCCACACGCCTATCGCTACATAACTCATATTGAAGAATGTTTTTAGTATGGAAGCCACTGCTATTCATTATACTATCATTATACTGCAATTCATTATACTATCAATGAAAACCTATCCTTCGTTGATTCTACCAAATGGAGCGTTTGATTTCTTTCCACGCATTTTCAATACGCATTGTACTCAGACGCGTTTTCAGTTTCGTAGCTAAAGCTGCCTAAAAGTTGAATTTTAAAGGGAACATTTGCTTTCGTTTTGTTTGTCTTATTTTTAGCTCTTAACATCTTCTAATCGGCTATAACTGTTCAGATTAAACAAGAGCAATGAACAGAAAGTACATTTCGTGACATTCTGCGCTTGTAGAGCCATATAAACAGTCAAATCACGAAGTTCGTGGTCAATTGAACAGGATGTTGAAGGATAACTTAAATTTGTTATTAGTGAGTCATTAAGTGAGTCACTGAATAGTTCTGTAAAGCATGCCATTGGTATTTAAAAGTGGTTTTGTAAACCTGTGGGTGAAACTCTTTATCAGTTCAATAACTTGCGTAAAGAAATGTGAATTTATGAGGTAAGTCATAGGTACTGTTTGTGTATTGTATCTTAGAGTTATAGAAAATGCGTGAAATATTGGCTTATCCATATTTAAACAATCATTTCTTAGATCTTTTTTTACTACAGACATTTAAATTTCATTTAAGGAAAATCAGTGCAGATTTTTGGCTTGTTTTTGTTAGAAGATAATCAAGATGAAAACTTTAACTCTTACTTGGTATTGCCTCCAACATGGAAAAAAAAAATATATATATATATATATATATCACATCTGTTGTTCTCTTGTGTTTTTAGTACTCTGTTTCAATATGTGGACTGTATTCTTCATGTGGTGTTTCTGAAGTTACAGTTTGTTCATCAGTAGAAGTCATTGCAGTAATTCATTTTTGAAATTCAAAGTTGACTCCAGTCCGCAATTTGTATATGTAGTAGGACTACATGCTGTCCAATTTGGAAATAATTGGATGAAAAAAAAAACTCTGAGGGCAGCCTAAATTGGACAAGGCCATAGGCCAAGTCCAATTTGGCTGTCAGAGGAACTTTTTAAATCAAATGTTTTTCAAAACTGGACAATGATGTAGACCTCTGACTTGTTAATTATAAAAGTAGTCAGTTGTAATTGAGCATTGTTCAGTCAAGGTACTCTTCTTTAATTTTTTAAAACTGTCCAATCAAGGATTAACTTGGAAAGTTTGAAACTATCCAAATTAGTCCTTGTTTGGACAGTTTCAAAAAATAAAAGAACAATAGCTATGCTGAGAATTACAGATTAATTATTGGCTATACAATTAAATAGGTAATACGAAGTTATACAATGTTTTTTTTAATTTTAAATAACATGTTACATAATCTTTACCCTAATTTTACACAATGCTCTTATTTAAGGTTGAATACCTAGCATATGTCGCTCGTCTTTTGGTTTATATTCGGGACATACGTAAGTAATCTTGCTTATAATAAATACATTAGACAATTACAAGATTCAATAAAATCCAATTAGAAGCTGATCTTTTGAACACAGGCAAGTTGAATTGACATTATTGCATGCAATTTTGTGGCTTAAACTAATACCTAAATGCAGGAAAATTGTTTTGGTTTATGAAATATTTCCCAGCCTGGGATCCTTTCCTTTGGGGACCATTTTTCCACCCTTAAAAACAGCTTCAAATTGGGGGAGTTGCCAAGTTTTGAACTCTGTCTATTTTACTTTTTCATTTTCTTTAGCACAAAATTTCACTGCTCTCTAAATGCCTTTCTTGGCACCTGGGGATATGAATGGGTGAAGTGAGATCTATTCCTTACAAAGCTATCTGCCACTGGATGTTGATTTGTTATATAAGGAAATGTATGGTGGCCACAAGGAAAAATATTAGACCTTGGGAGTTTAAGTCCTAAGTAAGGGCTTGTCTTAAAAATTATCTCTTGATAATTCAAGGCTAAGAGATTATCAGGCAAGTATTTATTTTCATTTTCATGAAAATTGAATAAGGAGTTTGGTTACTTCCCCTATTCAGTGCAAGTCTATCACAAATAGCCAAGGAGTACATTGTATTTATTTTGAATGCTCGATGATGACATTCTTGTTATTTAGCAATTAATGCCAAAATTTGGGTGAATAAACATTTCAGTCTACAATGAGCTACATTGTACATTTATGCAGTTTGACTGGTTCTTACATATGATCTGCTGGAGGGGGGTGGCAAAGATGATGTCATCAGTATCAAAATTTTGCCTTTTCATGATATACCGGTAAAAGGAATAGATTACATGTTGCTGTGCAGCAATAAATTGTAGAAGACCTCAAGTGTAATAAGAGCGTCAGCGACACTCTGCTATGCTTGGTATGCCACTTTTTTGGTTCTTATCCCATTTTGATATCATCTGTGATCTACTATTGAATGGACATCTGGCAACAGAATGTAGTTGTTAAAGAGATATTTTTCAGGTTTCTAGTAATTTGATAACATTGTGGTACATGTGTTTGCTGCTCTTTAATGGGTAAAATGTAAAAAGACATGTCCTCTCAAAGAAAACAGCTAAAACTGATAATAAGTGCTCAAACCTAGACTATGTTTATCAGGCTTGCTTGTTATCAGACCGCAATATCTCCCACAGAATTTGATGTGTGATTATAAAATATAATATAGGGCCAACTGCCCCTGGGCAACAGCAGGCACAGGCAGCAACCATGAATCAGCCTGGAATGAGTCGAGGACTGCAATTTCCCTCATCTCAGCTCAACAAGCCACAGGCTGTGAGCACCATTGGTGCACAGAGTACCTTGCAACAGGTGGTACCCCTGGGTCAGGTCCAGCAGTCACCAATGGCACCTCAACAGGTCTTTTATAATAAATCAGGAATAACCCAAGAACAGATTCTTGCCCAGCACCTTCAGCATCAACAGCAACAAACACCCCAGCAACATCAACTAACCTCTCAATCTATGATGACGCCACAAGCTATGAGTGTAAACTCTCAGAATCAGGGGGGACATCACCAAATAAGCCAATCACAATCTTATGTTCCTCCTAATCAAGGGGCATCTCCAATGCCTGTTCAACAGCAATCTGTCCATCAAGGTTTGCCTTATCCTGGTGATCTTGTGTGTGGTTAATTTTTGACAGTAATTTAACAGAGACATGCAGATGACCCATGGCCAGTTGATGAAAAGGCTGGGCATTTCAGAGTATTATTTTGCTGAACTTTAAGACGACAGAATTTTTCTTCTCTCTTGTTCCACAAAGAGAACCGAAAGAACTTTCTCTCCCATTCTCCTGATCTCTAAGCATCTCTTTAGGACATTGTTATCATTCAGGTGAAGATGTTACCAGTTTCCTCCCAGAAAAATTGAAAGTTAATTATCTCACTTGTAGAAGAAACATCTCTTTAAAAGCGAATTCAGCCTAAATTTTTCTCTTGAGGCAGTAATGACAACTGATTTTTTCCTGACCCTTTCCACCCTAACATCAGCATGCACATTCTCCATAGTGTTCTCTATACATTTCCTAAGGTGCTGACAAGGAGAATTTGTGAAACGATCAATCAGAGCTTTTGTAGTTAGTGATCACTTCTTTACTTTAGTGACCTTAATGTCTGATTCTGGGGTGATATTTTTAGGAGAAATGTGCTGCCAGCCACTCTTTGGGGTCAAAAGGTTAAATTGTGTCAGGGTTAAAAGACCCTGGTGGTACATGTGCAGCCAAGCCTTCCTATCATGTTACCCGTGGGTCTCAGTTGAAGGAGATTAACAGTGAAACTAGTTTAGTGACCAATTTTGAACCAAGGAAAAATTTGTTAGATAGTTTGATTGAAAGGTTTATGCTATGATGATCAAAGTGATAATTGTTAATATTCCTTTTTTTTCTTTTAGTACCACAGTCCAAACATCCTGTTCAAGGAAGAATGCCACATGTTCCATCCCCAGCTGCAGGGCAAAACATATCATCGAATTCAATGCGAGCACCTACTCCTTCATCTAGTCTGACAAGCCAGGCCACCATTGCCCCATCACCTGCTCCTTTTGTTCCATCACCTGCAACGCACCCATCACCCTCCCCTCAGGTAGGGCCGCAAGGCTTCAAGGCAGTCATAGTTAAACAAGGACCCTGACTATAAAAGGGATAGCTCCTCCCCCGTCTTGTAACGCAATCTTTGCTTCCATGGCTAATCGAAGATGGCTGACTAATGGAAGGTGAAGGGGGAAAAAGAGATTTGTACACGAAGACCGATATCCTTGTCTTGTTTCAATTGATTTCCACTTGAAAATGTTTTTATTGACGATTAAAAAGGGACGAATGGAGAAATATTGATCTTCATTTGCAAAACTAAAAAAATTAGGCTATCGCAATTTGAATTTGGCGCTCCTAACGGCTCCTCCTATCATGAGATGGTCGTACTGGCCCTCTGACTCCCCTCCGTTTGCCTCAACTTCTTGAGCCGTCGATATCATTGACTAGAGGATCTCAGTACTGTGACATGCTCAGAGAGAGTGGTTTTCATGTACATATATGTACATATATGTACATTTATGTACATGTATGTAAATGTGTGTACGTGTATGTTGCGACATAACTCATCTTCCACTTCGAATTGATCCATTTTACGGTTGCTACAGTCGCGCACTAACTAGTCTTTAGCTTTAAAATTGCATTTTATTTTGCCATGGCGGATTTTCCATCAAAAAAAGCCAAAATAGCGGCGCGAAGTCTACGAGTCCGTTATACACTGGAGCTGGCGGTCGAACCCGGAATGGAAGAGCGATTGGAAAGCGTGAAGACAAGAATTCAGCGGTTGAAGGAACGCCTTCATTTAGCGAGTCGAACACCGATGGCAAATGTTATTTTGATGGAACGACTCTTAGACTTATTCGAATGGTCTGAACAAAGAGGTATGGTAAGTGAAAGTCACTCCTCTTTGTTTACATCTTGCTCGTTCGCTCAGGCTTCTCATCTTGCCAGCGACGCGGCCACCCAAACCGACATAAACGGGTCCAATGTTTTATCACATGTTTTGAGTTATGGGGAGAAAAAGCCTCAAAAAAGGAAAAAAAAATAGAGCGAAGTTCGAGAATAGGTCCTTTTGAAAGGAACATAGTTTTCTAAGTATTTTGACACGGCACTATCTAGGATATTTTTTGCCTGAACATTTTAGACGCGCGTTGCAACGAGAAGCCTATTTCACTAGCTACTTATGAAAAGGTCGAGGTTTTCAATAGTTCTTGAGGCCCGTTCAGGCAATATAGCCGATGATAATTTGTTTTCCATCGGATTTCAGTCAACCAGACATGTTTCCAATCCGTGACCGAAATTATTTTATATGAGCACCCATGGGATTCGTCTTTCAACACCACATATTCCGTTGGAGAAATGGCGCGCGATTCAAATAAAAATTCTATCCAACGTGATCTCTTGTTTAATCGCAGAGGAGTTCTTGTAAAAGTGTCACATGAAATCCCGTAGACAAAACGTCGAAGAAACTAACCACTTTATTACTATAATACAAAACCGGTATGAGAAGAGGATTTTTGTGAAAGATAATAAAGGTCATAAAAGCTAGTCCTCACCGCTAGCCCTCTGGCCGTTTGCCTTCCTTACAGAAATGACATCGCAAGCGGGTGTACATTCCGTGGAGCCAACTGAGTGGAGCCGATCATCTTTTCTTTGCCGTAAACGAAAATGGCAAAATTCATAGAAGTTTGAGATATGCACTGGCTGCAAGTGACCTTTCGGTTACAATAGTTTTGCCAATATCGCACGGTCACGGACTGGTTGATGTCGACAGTTTGGTGTCAGGGGTGAAATGACTGACGGCTTGCCCAGGGCAAAAGTCCTTTTATAGTCAGGATCCTTGTTTAAGCAATGAAGTTGTCCTGGCAGTAAAATAAATCAGCTGTAAATCAGATGTGGGATTTTGCCTCAGTCTGTGACTGTTTCAAGCTGTGTTGTTGTCAGTAATTAACAGCTTGAGTTGTAAAATCACACCTGCACATTACCTTTACATCTTTCAAATAACTAATAGCTTGACATACATGGTAAGCATTCAGCTGCCTGGCTGGGGCTCAAACCCTTAGCATGGCACTCAGTTTTTTTCTTTGTCCTTTACTCATGAAATGTGCTAAACATCTCTCTTTAGTCAAGGAATGAGCTCAAAATTTACCATCTTCCTTCTTTTCCATACAATGAGGAAAAGAAGTATGGTAGCAGGATGCTGCCATCACTTATGCACCTTGCATGACACCATAGCTTGCAAACTAGTTCTCCTTAGCTTAGCTGATGTAGTATCTGGTTGTCAAATCATTACTTGCCAAGGGACTCTTCTCAGCTCTGGGTACACCTAAATTTTCTATACCTCTGAGTACTGTAAATGGCCTCCATTCCAATCCTTTGATGTGTTTTGATTTTTTTTTTTTTTTTGCTCTATAGCATTACATACCAGCTTCACCAGCTGCCCCTACATCAGTCCCAACTCCTAGTACGATGAATGTTCAGTCACCAGCCTCTGTTCCAAACCCTGCATCGGTAGGGCCCCCAGCAGCCAGCCCCGCTCAACTGAACCCAGCTGAAGAACAGGCTTATTTGGATAAGGTATGTGCTGACTATATTGCTGAACAACCATTTATCAAATGGCCAGTGCGGCCCCATATGTGCAAAATCCATTAAAAACTATAGCAAAAGCTGATGTTTATTGGGTGGGACAGTTGACATGAGCCAGTCCAAAAAAGCTAGCCCTGCACTCATGCAGCTCATTTGCATTTTTTGAGAGAATTATGTGAATTGAAATTGTAGACTTTTAAAAAAAGTGAAACAAGTGAGAAAGTGAGTTGCTTCAAGGAAAAAAAATGGAAAAGCTTTTACTCTAGAATCTTTTTAATAGTTTTTTAGTCTGTGCCCTTCTTTTGTATGCAAGTACATCCTTTTAGGTTGAAACAGGTTGTTTGAAGCTTTTAGTGTTAAGTGAACATATGATACTCAGTCAAGAAGTACATATCATATCAAGCAAGTACATTAATTGATTACTTTTACTTTTACTTTTTTATTTAACCCCCTGAAGATGCATTGGTTTAACATTTGGTGCATTGGACTAAATATCTCTTTTCATCTATAAGCACACTTTTCTCAGGGTGTTTTTCATTCAAAGGCAGCACTCTTCTGAGTGAACAAAGAATTTTGCATTTTTGGTCCTAGAAAAGTTGTACTGTTTGATAAAAACTCATGAATTCATTTCTCAGCTGAATGAACTGAAACCCTATGTTGAACCACTGACAAAGATGATAAACAAGTTGAACCGAGCCTCAGGGGAGAAAGGTAAGTTGTATAAGAATTGTTAGTTCAACTTGAGGTAATTTGGTAGCAAAGCTGTGAGTCATTTTATTTGATGTATAAAATTACCTTCAATATGAGAAAACCAAGAAAGTAACAACTGATGATTGAGACAATGTATTGAATCTTACCAGCTTGTAAAAAACTGACTTCAAGCTCCTCTAACTTACATACTTACATAGTTTTCATAAGGGGCATTCTGATTGTGTGTTTTTTGTTAACATGTCTGTTCAGTAAAGAGGGCTTAAGACACTTCTGACTTACCATTTCGGTAACTAAAGTTAGTCTCAACTTTGTTCACTTTGAACATTTTTTCCTCTCCACCCCTCTAATTTTATCTAGAGAATGACTAGCTTATAATGCCTGCAGCTGCTTGACTGAAAAAATTCAGAGTGATTTGGCACATTCATTGATTTCATAGCTTCCCACTGAATGTGAATGGACAATGTAGTTCAACAAATACACAGTTATTTCCACTGAGAATAACATTTATCAACCCTTGAACTCCCATGAGTGACCAAGACAGAATTTCTCCATATCATATCAATACAATATCAAGCAGACAAGCGATGAGAATCAAGAGAAATATCAAGGAGGGGATTATTGGTTGATCTAATACCAAATTCTCCAAACTAACATCATAAGTATTGTAAAGCAGATAGTAAAGAGAATTATTACACGACTCGGGCAATCAGAGGGCCAATAACTAAAATCAACCAATCAAAATGCTCTATTGCCGGTCAATATTCTCTCAGCATTGGACCGGGCACGGTCCCGAATGATACAGCACTTGTGTCCCTTTGAACTTCAGTTGTATAATAAATCTCTTATTAACCAAGCTTGCTCGGGACCGTACTGGAAGAATTTTGGCCCTTGGTCTTTTTTGTATGGACCTTGCTGTGCTCGGTCCATACTGTCAAGACCTTGGGCCAATATTCTCCCAGTACGGCCCTCATACTTGGTTAGTAAGATATATTTATGAGTGAAATGGAGTGAAAGGGGTGAACAACAGCTACATGTACATGTATTTTGGTTTTCTGAGTAACTTAGGCCAGTTTTTTTAAGCCAGTAGCGACAAAAATGTCTCATTAACCCTTTACACTGTAACATCAGCAGGTATATTCTCCATACTGTTCTCTATACATTTCCTTGGGTGTAGGCAAGGAGAATTTGTTCAACAATCAAGAGCTTGTTTCGTTGGTGATCATTTCCTATATTCTCATGAACTTAATGTGTGATTCAGGGGTGATATTGTAAGGAGAAATTAGATACTGGTCACTCTTTGGGGTTAAAGGATTAACTTCCAAGACAAAACAAGGAAACTTATCAGAATTAGGTTTTTATGAGATGGCAGTTATTCTTCAGGATATTGTTGTTTGTCTTTTTTTCAGAACACAGTAGTTTATACAAACTAAAGCATCTTTATGATATACTGACAAACCCAGCTAAAAGGTGGGAAAACATATATTAAAAGAGAGGTACTCTGGTGTATTGTTACTAAAAAGTCATTGCGGAAGGTTCATTTTTATGTGTAGGACCCTAAAAAACACATTGCATTGATACGAAGAAAAGTGAAACAAAGCAGAGCAAAGTGGTAAAAGATGATTGTAACCGAAAAATGCTGCAACCACATTTTGCCTTTGATAGACGCAGAACTAATGGAAAATAACTGACCAAGCCAAAATATACAAAGTGTAAAAGAAAATCTTTTAGTACATATTGATACAAAATGTAAAATGAAACCTTTCAGTACATATTAAAACAGTGGATAACACCCTGATTGGCTTCTCAAACTCTGAATATCCTTTGCCATCACCTCAGAACAAGTCATGCCCAAAATATTAAAATTGTTACACGAATGAATTGAGTTATAATCATCTTTTTGTGCTTTCTTCACTCAGTGTCTGTTGCTGGCTAGCGGAAGAATATTTACCTCACTTCATGGCTCAGTAAATAGCCACCACTAGCCACTTAGTATAGGTAATCACGTGATTTTGAGTGCAATTTGGAATAAATAAGCACAAGTAAATTTTTTCAAAGACTAACAAAATTGCATGAGCCCGTAGGGCGAGTGCGATTTGTGGTCTCTGAAAAAATTTACAAGTGCTTATTTATTCCAAATTGCACGAGAAAATCGTGTGATTATCTATTGATAATATATATGAAAAAATATGAGGTAGCTTCTCATAACTACGCAGAAGAAAAGTGCGTGCATCACGTGCAAAAATAATTTATTCAAACCCTGCAAGTGACATTGACCTTGACATTGACATTGACATTGACATTGACCAATCATTCTGACCAATCAGAGTGTCTCATTTGTTTCTTTCTTTGCACTGAATTAACCCTCTTCTGCACTGAATTAACTCTCCTCTGCACTGAATTAACTGAAAACTGCATTCATCTTAACCAATCAGAACTGAGAAATTTTTTCATGTATATTATTAGTTGTTAAATATACAAAACAAGAGCCACACCTAAAGACTAATTAACAAAAACTACAAGAAGGCAAAAAATTATACTAAGTAGAAAATGAAAAAAAAAAAAAAAAAAAAAAAGAAAGGAAAGCACGAGCAAAGACAATTATGTAATTCTGGAGCCTACAATGTACACTTAGTACAACCAGTGCCATAATGATAGTATAATATATAGTGACTAATTATACAATGATGAATTTGATTGTACACTAACATCAATTTATCTTTAGGTGTTTCATATTCATTCCAGCTACATGTAATTTATTATAGAGTTATATTTCTTATGACAGGCTTCCTTTGCAAGCTTTGGAAAACAGTGGAAATGTGCTGAAAAAGCTTATCCCAATAACTACACCACCAGCCCCTCCAACACCATCTGGTAACGCAACTTCCTCAGCCTCCACCACATCTGTTGTAACAACTACAAGTCAAGCTGTTCCAGTAGTGCCATCAGCTCCCATCCAGACAATCTACAAACCTCTTTTTGATGCAGTTACAAAGCATGCCAAGTCACCCATGTTGGGCCACACCCTAAAGAGGACATTTACTCCGCTGCTGCAAGCTATGGAAGGACCACCCATACTGTAAGTTTAGCATTGTGGATGGTTCCTAGAAACTTATTCCTTTGAAAGAAATCAAGGAAAGATAATTAAATTGTTAGGAGATTGATTTGTCAGGGCTAACCTAAAATTGAGGTAATGGAAAGTTTTAAAGATCCAAGTTAGTGAGAGTTGACTTATTAAGTCAAGTAAAGCCAGGGATTTACTGTAAGTTAGGCTCAAAGTTTTTACTGCTAGGGTTTATGTCCTAAGCATGAGGCACACGCCATAAATCTGAGTGGAAAAAAAAAAAAGAAAAAGAAAAAACAGGTTCCATAACTTATAGTATGGACCAACAAAACAAGGTTAATAAGGTATTTGTTTTATCTCGGGGTTCCAAATAGTGGGAAAAGATTTCAATTCAAACACAGTTTTAAATTCAGTAGGCCACACAGTGAATTATGGCCTACTAAATTGACCAATCATTGGACATGGACACTGCATTAATGTTGGCTAGGTAGAATAGGTATCTTTGTATAATATTCTAGCTTCAAGAATAACTCTGACAGACCAATATATTTTAAGAAGTATGGAGATGAGACACACCACAATTTCCCTTATTTCCTCCTTTTTAATCTGTCTCTAGAACTCATGAATAAAATTTAGATTTGTGAGCCAGTTACCATGTATTTCCTTGAAGTCATTTTCAAATTAACTGTGTTTTAGATATATTTGTGGGTTCTGTAGAAGTAAGAGGATTGTTTAATGTTTTATTATGTTTTTATTTGTAGTCCTATTCCCCCTCCAGCCAAGAGGGTCAAGGTAACTGGTGAAATTCCAAAGAAGTGTACTGTTCCACATGTGTTGCAAGGGGAACTTGCCAGATTATGCAGCCGATTTCAAGTGAGGTCAGGAGCCAGCTCTGGAGCAGTACAGAGTAACACACTTCTTGAGTGTTCAATAAGTAAGAATATCATCGTAAGATTAAATTGTTTTAAAATATTTTTTAGCCCTTAACTCCCAAGATCTGATTGTTCATTCTCCTTGTAATTAAGTTACAAGAACTTGTTGTTAGATTAGATAACAACTGCTACCTGACAAGATTGAGTATTCTCACTACCTGATTGCTGGATAGTATATATGTTTAGCATAATTGTTGCGGTGATTATGGAGAAGTGCATGCTCTGGTTGATTGAGGATTGCATCATATCTTGCTTTAATCACCTTGTGCAAGGTGATTATTTATAGCAGGGGCTCTAAATTTCAAAATAGCTGCTACACGTTTGGTCAGTGTTACAGAGAAAGTTATGAATGGCATAGAAGAAAATTGAAATGGGAAGAGCACAAAAGATGCAACTAGGTTTGGCTACTTTTCAAAAGAAAGATATGATGTTTTTGCAGATTGAATTAAATAGGAAGAGTTAAATTCTAGTGGAGACAAGCTGCTTATCTCAATACAAGTGATCAAAAGAATTTTAATGATGGTCTAAAGAATAATAAACAACTATTCAACAGAATTTAAAGGCACCTGAGCAATTATACTTAAACAATTATTCACCTCAGCCTCCTGGAAAGAACTTTGATCCAATTAAGGTTAATGATCAGGACTTAGAGTGTGTAGAGCAAGCAAAGATCTTAGGTTTGCAGATATCTTGCGATCTCACGTGGAATAATCACGTATCCGAAGTTGTAAAGAAAGTAAACAAGCGCCTGTATTTTTTGCGTCAGCTTAAGCGTGCACAGGTCAAGTCGGAGGAACTTTTGCTCTTCTATTTGACTTGTATTAGGCCTGTCACTGAATATGCATGCCCTGTTTATCATCATAGCCTCCCGCAATACCTTTCAGTAGATCTTGAGAGATGTCAAAGGCGAGCTTTACGTATTATCTATCCAGATTGTTCGTACAATGAGGCGCTTCTTTTGACTGGTCTAGTTCCCTTACACAACCGCCGCGAGTTCTTATGTGATAAGCTTTTTAATTCCATCCTGTCTAATCCCTCGCACAAGCTCTATAGCTTACTACCTCCCAAGAATGAGTGCGAAGTCAATTTAAGGAGTCAGCACTCTTTTACTACACGGCGCCTCCACACCATTCGTACTCGAAATAGTTTTATCCATCACTATGTCCATAAAGCAATGATGTAATATTGTTTTTCTCTTAATTATATATTTTTGTCTTTTTAATTAGTTCTTCTTAGCCATGTATTTTTTGTAGTATATATTTTATTGTAAATCAAACGTAATTCAGCCTGTGGCTGCAAGGTTTTTGATAATAATAAACTATCTATCAAACTATCTATCTATCTATCTAGCTCAATGGATAGAGCACTGGACTGTTGTGTGGGAGGTTGAGGGTTCGAGCCCTGGCTGGATCAACACTCAGGGTCTTAAAATAATTGAGAAGAATTTGCTACCTTTCTATAACATCAAGAAATGGTTAGATATTCTAGTCTCCTTGGATAGGGATGAATAAATGGAGGTCCTGTCTCCTGCAGGGTTGGGGGTAGGAGACGTTAATTTCCCACACACGAGATTACTGTGTGATAGATGTCGTCCCCTGGGGTGAGATGGGTGGGATATTGGGCACACTTAATTTGGAGCCTCGCTCTGTTGTGCGACCCTCACCATACTCTGGTGAAAGTGATTAAATAAATAATCCCTCCACATTTGTCTCAAGGATTAATCAACAGTATTCCCTTGGCCTGAAGCAAATCACTGTTAAATATAACAGGAAGAAGTAACATATTAAGGAATTCTGGGAGTCTAAGGGTTAAAGCTGCAGGTGAAATTTGTAATGACTGTTGCTGGCCTAGCGAGTGTTACTTTATTGTTTCAATTTTTTCTGTTGCCAATAAAGAGAGCGTTATTTTATTGGTATATTTATTACCCACAAGAAGTTATATTACTATTTACCAATCATTTTGCATGTTTCATTTGAAATTTGACTGAGTTCTCTATCTTTTGCATCAAAGATGACCTGAACCTGCCAGCAGTTCCACCAATAGAAATCAGTGTTCCACAGAACTACCCTTACTCCAGTCCTGAGTGCAAAACAGCAAATTACAGTGAGTTCTACATTTAACAATAGGTCTCTTTAAATGAAATCCATCAATTACAAATTATTTTTGTCTCATGTATTTAATTATGGAATGTAATCCAGGACTGAGGTGGGTTAAACATTTGACGCCAAAGTGTGACTGTTTTCCAATTTCCCCTTACAGCATCACTGTTGAATCAAATGTAGAGATCATGGGAATAATAGAAATGATCACCAATTTAGGAAGCTTCTGGTTCTTAAACAAATTGTCCTTGTCATTAACACAGGAAATGTAGAGATATCAATGTGGAGAATATTAATACCAATGATAGTGGGAAAAAGTTTAGACTTGACTAAGTTCTGTGATTGTATCACTTCAATTCCTCAACCAGTAACATACAAGTCTTAATTATTTAACTCCCAAGATCTGATTGGTAATTCTCGCATCTATCTGCTACACATCTCCCTGTAAATTAGTTACAAGAATTTAGTGTTAGATCAAGGTTAAAACTTCTACCTGATAAGTTTAAGTATTCTCACCACCTGTTTGCTGGATAATTTATGGATATTATAGGGAGAAGTTACATTTTAATCACTTCTGGAAGTTAAAGGTTAAGTGTATGTTGATTAGGTCACTCTCATTTCCCAACACCAAAGGCTGCTTTTACAAAGCACATGTATGTATTTTGGTACCAGTCCTCCTTGGCTCATCTTTTTTTATGTTTAACTGTTGTGACTACTTTGGTTTTGGTGCTATAACTCTCTCTGTCAAGAGCTGTTTGATAACAAGTTTTTATGTAAGTCATTCATCTCCCTCTTGCAGATGCCAATCCTTTCCTCCAGAAAGTCCAAAGGCAGCTCTCTTCAAAGCTAAAGTGTATGCCTGAAATGTACTCTGTTACATCAGTCCTGAATGCATGGGTAGGTATTTGCTCTGTTACCAGTGGAGATTTGTGGGGAGAGGGGAGGAGCCTAATGTTCTTCAAATGGACATGTTCAAGTCTGATCCTGGATGGGTTTGTACATGTCTTTGCAAAATTTTTAATGTTGATTGGGTGGGGGTTGGGGTTCAGGGTTGGAGTTCAGGGTTGGGGAGTGGGAAGAGATTGGTGAAAGGAGGCTTACAGGAATTTTTTGTAACCCTTTGATCCCTGAGAGTGACTAGCATCTAATTTCTCCTTACAATATCACCCTTGAATCCCACATTAAGGTCATGAGAATATAGAAGATGATCAACTAAACAAGCTCTTGATTGTTTAACAAATTCTCCTCGTCTCCACCTCAGGAAATGTATAGAGAACAGTGTGGAGAATATATGGATGGATATCAGGGTGTTGAGGGTTAATAGAAGTGTCCAAGGCTGACCTGTGAGGGTTATACTGGTCCTAATTAATTTTGTTAATTTTTTTTTTTTTTTAAGGAATCAAGCATACGACAAGCTTGTCTTGCAGAAGTTGCAGTGAACTAAGATAATGGGTCTTAGAACTAAGGTTAAATTATGTTATAAAGTAATTTCAAATCGCATCAGAGATGTATTTCAACAGAAAAGTTAGATATTTATTTGTGTAGAAACCCTTAAGAAATCACCATGAAAAATGTAGTCAGACTACAAAAATGTCACTTTTTTGAATAAAATGTATTCTATAAACTTCTTTTGTGTAAGAGAGGGAACTGTCAGAACACACATTGTCTCATATCCTTTGGCAATCAATTTGTCTGTTTCTTATTTTAGCAATCAGTGTTTAACAGAAAATATTGTACTCTAAATACTTCAGTACTTAAGACAATTTTTGGCATGATTTTGATCTATTTATTTGCCGTGCTAGCTGGTAAATGATAATTTACAATAAAATAAATTGATCAACTGACAAAATATAATATTGTGTTATATTCTTGATGACCTCTTTTGTCTGAAGGGAAGCTGTGTCTGGAAAACATTAAACATTCATGTGGGGGCATTCCATTACAGTCACAATGCACTACTGATAATAATAAGAAATCAGCAAAGCAAACAAACAAATCAGACAAAACAGAAAAATCAAGAAACTTAAGTGTCCTTGAAGTACATTTTATGACCTTGTAGAAATTCTAATGTTGTACCATTCAAATACTTTGACGATGCACTTAAAGTGAAAGTTACAGCATAACCACAAAAAAAGGTTTTGCATCTTTACCTAAGTTTTTTTTTTTCTTCTCTTGTTTTCTCGATAAATACCTTTGAAATAATACACCAAATTTAATTACTTAAAAATACAGTCTATAGGGGGTCACTGCACTAGCATTACAATAGATTTACAGTGTTTGTAAAGTGCTAGGGGTATCAATAACTTTTTCCATAAGCAGCTGCTGATGGCATAGTAGGCAGCAGTGCCCAGAAAAGGGGCTGTAGGGTAAAACGCTAAGCATGAGACAGATGGTGGTGAGAGGTCTTTTTGGCAGTGGTATTCTGCTTCTAACAAACTGCTATCAAAACCCCTGAAGCTTAATGAGCAATTTGCTGCCTAAGGAGAAAAACAGAGATTGTGCATCCATTTCAGCTATACTGAGCATACTACCATCAAATGACATAATGAGACAGAGGATTCAACTGTTAAATAAATGTAATGTGTGGATACCCTATAAAACATACAAACATGTTACCCCTTAGGAATAATACTCATGACAGAGTTCTTTGAGTTCATTCCTGCCATTTGGTTGTCAAGTTTAACTGTTTATCAAAGATTAGAAACAACTCCAACTGCTCTGACTGTGAGATGGAAAGAGTCATTGAATTTTTCTTCTTTCATCAGTATTTTAATTGCATTTCAGTGGACCAGTTCACTTCTGATACTGTGGAAATTAAAACAGTAACAAAAAAACAGTCAGTGGTGCATCATCTATCAAGGAAACCATGAACAATCACACTGTAATGGCCACTTAAGTTATATAAAGTACCTTGCAATGTTTAAAGACCTACAGAAGTATTTCAAATTAAAAAAAAACCTGATTGGGCCAGAAAATTCATATGTACAAGCATGGATCAGTCAATTTGGAAACTATTTCCTCATTCTACCCTGCTGCAAACTGTTTCTAAACACCTGCTGGCAACCAAACCCTTTAACCCCTAGAAGTGATTAACATGTAACTTTCTATAATATCCATACATCATCCACCAAACAGATAATGAGAATACTTCAACTTATAAAGCAGAAGTTGTCTTGATCTAACACGAATTCTTGTAACTTATTTACAAGGAAATGTGTGTCAGCTAGAAGGAAAAATTAACAATCACATCTTGGGAGTTAAAGGAAGGAAATATGAATCAATTTACAAACCTGGCATCAAGAGATAATTATTCTTAACCCATGAGGGTAAAACTATACCCCTCACACACAAAACATGTTTATAACATAACCAAAGTAAAGCGCGTGCTCTGATTGGTCAATTTAGCATCCTCCATATGCCCATGGGTGTACACTGCTGACGTGAGCAAATGCAAAGACTATTTTTCCGCGCGCGCTTGTTTTTTTCTGGTCACGTAAGATTTGTTAAATAAAAGGGAACTCTTTAGCTACAATGTGTTAATGTTATGTTATAAAACAAATGGTAAACACCACAGCGTACACTATTGAGTTATGGATGCACTTGGGAGGTTTGCTAAGCACTCAAGAAGCTAGAGTCGCTCTCGGCTATCGCCTCGAGCGACTCTTAAGCTTCTTTCGTGCTTAGCAACCTCCCGCGTGCATCCATAACTCAATAGTGTACGCTGTGGTGTTTACCATTTGTTAATTATAAATATAAAATTCCTAATGTATTCCCATGTTGTAACAGGAACCTTCTATTCCTCCACAATAATCCCACAAAATTTGAAATTTACCTTCCCCATGTGAGATGTACTTGATACATAAATATTGACAAAAGAACCAACCCCTTAACTTGCAACCTGTGAAGTTGACTTATTAACAATACGAACTAATGCAAACAAAAATATGCAGATTGGGATCAAAGTTAGAATCTTGAGCAACTGCACAGTCAACTGATAACAAGTTAGGGTTAATGTTGGGTTAGGGAGGGGTGAAGGCTGATAGTTTCTAAAGAAACTGTTTGGAGCTGCGTCAGTGGGGGTAATGAAAATAATTTCAATATATCAACAAAGTTGAAATGGTAAATTGGCCACCGTTACGATTATAAAAGCTGATGTTTTGAGCGTTAGCCCTTTGTTGGAGCGAATAGAGGAATTGTGTGCTTTTAAATTCCCACCAATCACGTAGCTCCATTTTCTGCCTTTAAAGCACACACAACCCACAATTCCTCTGCTCCCATGAAGGGCTAACGCTCGAAACGTCAGCTTTTATAATTGTAACGGTGGCAAATTTACCATTTCAACTTTGTTGATATATTGAAATTATCAGGGAGGGGTATGTGCGCAGTTGCTCAGATACTAGATATCTTGTTCAGAACCTTTTTCATCAGCCATTCTGCATCCTGCATAGCTCTGTCAATAATTTGTTGTATTCTTTGTGGGTCAGTTTCATCACAGTGACTTGCATAGGCCTATAGAGAAACGATTCTGATGAATGCAGAAGATCGACTAATAGTAACAGAAATAGCTTATTCATAATCAATATATCATTAATCAAATTCTCATCTGTTCTCAAAAACGTATAGCTCTTGTTTATTTGTTTATGACAGAAACCTGTAAGGGTGTAGAACATGTAAGGAACATTATATATCTACAGCCCCGGAAAACTCATGACTTATGAGTTTCTGCTTTTGATCAAAGCCCCTTAAAAAATCATAATCATAGATAATAGCATCCGTTACTGCAGCAAGAAGGAGAGTCAGTGAGGTTGAGGTACGTACCTGCTTCACGTGGTGCTTATAATGCTTCTGTGTCTCTTCAGGTAATTTTCTCACACATCTCAGTAGGTATCTGTAAAGTGAAAGCGGTGTTCTGAGGTTTTGTTGCATTTCCTATCTACTAACCCATCAGCTGAACAAGTATTCCACTTTCTTGGTGCAACACTTAGCAGCTTATATGAAGTATTAAACATAGCGCCTTGTAACCTCCCTTCGCGAGCTCGAGAACACCTCCGCAGTAGTCCCGCAGTGGTGGTACTATGACAACAAACAATGGCTCTTCGTTCGGGTTCCTTGAGTGAAAATGGCGAAATAGTGGTAGTTACAGGTGCAGCTGGGTTTTTGGGGATTAAGATAGTTGAACTGTTGAATACGCGAGGAGTGAACATCCAAGAGATCCGAGGTGTCGACATCCGTCCGAGACAACCATCGTACTTCCTTCAAAATGCTGAGGGCGGAAGATTGACGTACAGGCAAGCAGACATTTGCAATTATGAACAGGTAAGCTCATCTGAAAAAGGTGACAGCAATGAAATAATTTGTTCCTCCAAGACATAGTTATGATCAATCAAAAACATAGCTGGAGTAGTCTGGGAGCAAATGTCATAAAATAAGGTCCCGTGTGAAGTTCGTGCTGAAAGCAAGCACCTAGTGTAAAAGTGTTCATTAGATCCTACTAAACATGAAAAGTTTTGGTGCCAGCTTTGCCACTTGCTCAGACGGCTTTTTAAGGGGGGTTTAAATTCTGACCCATGAAATCCAGTGTGAAAACGAGGCTAAAACAATAACAGACGAAAATACACCAAACTTGCTCACATGATTGGGCATGATCCTCCCTGTTGATTTATGCTAATTTACAAAGGTCGTGTGATGTTACACATGAAAGTGAGACTGAAACACATGATTTACTATAAATTTGTCAAAAAAATCCTTATCATGCCAAACTTGCTCACCTTAGTCAGTTAGACATCTTGCATTGATTGGTGCCACTTTGTAGTGTCACATTACCCCATACATGGAAATGAAGCTGGATTGCAAAACACGCCAAAGGTGAACACATCATCCAGGATGGTAATGGAGATGTTCGCATTCATCCAGGCAATCCGCAGTGGTGATTGGAAGCTCCATCTAATTGCACTGGACACTGGAGTTGTTCACACAGTACTTCTTTGTGCACGATAAGATCTGTTATCTAAGGATGATCCCCCTGTACCTAGCTGAAATGGCATCCCCCAAATCATCAGACCCCGAGATCTATGGAGAGTTCATCACAGGAAACTGGGTAGTGAACAAGAACAAGGAGGTTCCCTTCTGTGCTGTTGGTGGTGATACTGCCTTGGAACACCTCAATCGATCTATGAAAGTTTCTGGTGGGCTTGTAGGAATCACTTTGAATGAGAGCGCATGAGCCAAGTTTTTCCTCATTGCCCCAGAACTAGCCCAACTCACAGCAGAAGCAAAGGCAATGGCAGGTCTCTTTCCAGAATGTGCACACCATCAAGAACTAAACTCAGCTGTTTTGACGCATGAAGATAACAGCATAAATAAGTTGACCGAGACAATCAAGACCTTCATGAATCCCTTTTCATCAGACCAGAAAACCAACACTGATCTGTACAACTTGGTCACAAAAGTTGTGATGAATGAGAAAATGAAGAAAGATCTTGTTAATCAGAGTGAAGAAGGGAGAAAGCTATTCAGTGCTTTTGTACAAGATAGGATAAAGACAGGAAAGATCAACCTCTGGGCTCCTGTAAAGAAGTGCAATCTTCTTACCTGGAAAACGAGTGCTAAGGTCATCAAAGTCAAACCTAAAGACGCGATCATCGAGTTAAGGGAGGACAGAAATCTGTTTGCTCGTTTGGCGATGGTGTGCAAGAGCCGCCCAGAAATTGAAATCCAAGAGGCTGTTGGCTTATATGAGTTCACTGTTTTCCCAAGATCTTTGTTTGCACGAGATGGTACTATGTTGCATTGTTCTTGCAAGAGTGCCCTTATGCATTATCCTAGAGAAGGCAGGTGGCCCTAGTACTAATACACAAGAAATCACCGCAGGATTCAAAGTTGCGATTGTTGATGGAATGGCCAAAGTCCAATCACTTGACAAGCCAGAGTGGATCAAGAACTGTAGAGACTTGGCTGAACGTTTCACGAATCGCTTGCTTGTAAAGTATAATGATTTACAAGAGCTCCACATAATCTTAGACAGATATGATGTACCATCCTCACTGAAATCAGCAACACGAGTCAAACGACAAGGTGGCAATGCTCCTGTTTACTATTGCATCACTGATTCTACCCGCATCGCCAAGGTGCCAATGGAGAAGCTTCTTGCCCATTTAAAGACCAAGGGCGAACTTACTATGTTTCTCGCAAAGAATGTGAAGGATAATGCTAATGGGAGACAAGTCATTGTGGCATGGGGAACGGATTGTGAGGCAACACACAGACGTCAGGCATTTACGAAGTACACAAGAAGAAGCCGACACGAAGATTATTTTACATGCTCTGGATGCCTCTGTTCAAGGTGCTACCCAACTCTCTATATATTCTCCTGACACTGATGTTCTTGTTTTGGTTTTCCGACGGTATCCAGATTTGTGCTCGAACTCTTGCTTTGTTACTGGGACCGGCAGTAGTCATAGAGTTATCAACTTGAAGTCAATCGCAGGCGCCCTTGGGCCCACTAAGACGGCTGCGCTGCCAGCATCTCATGCGTTGACCGGAGCAGATGTTACTGGGAGTTTCTCTGGAAAGGGAAAAGCCACTTGTTGGGATGAGTTTGATAACGCCAGCACTCCTATCTTGCAAGCTCTTGCTAACCTCGGTTGTGGGGAACAGCCAGATGATGGCACAAGTAGTGGAGTGGAACAGCCGGTTTGTCGGATGAACCAAACAAAGACAGACATCAAAACTGTCAAAGCCCTCAGATGGTCCCTCTTAAAGAAAACTCAAGCTGAGTCTGAGAGGTTGCCGCCCACAACAGCTGCTCTCCATCAAGCCTTACTGAGAATGCACTACCAGCTTCTTGTTTGGAACAACAATCAAGTAGGAAACCTGGTGTTGCCCTCACCAGAAGGCTATGGATGGCAAGATGAAGATGGAAAGTGGGTACCAGTCATGACAAATCTTCCACCAGCTCCAGAGGCAATGATACAGCTTGTCCAATGCAAGTGCACCAAGTCCCGTTGCTCTAACAACCGTTGTCAGTGTCAAAAAGCCGGACTTCTCTGTCTGTGCTCTGAAGGTTGCCAGAACGAGTATGCTGAGAGTGATGATAAGTATGATGAGAACGAAGTTGAACAGGAAATTCCACAGGAATGGACAACTGAACAATGTATATAGATATTCAGTAAGACTTTTATGACTGTATATATAAAATAGCAGTAGTGGCTATTTTCATTTTCTGCCCTTGTTCCAATATACATGCGGAAATGAATACATGGAACCAGTATCATAAGTTGGCAAAATTATTGATTATGTGTACAAGATAGATTCTCAAATGTAGCCTCCGCAGTATTTCCTTTATCTGTCTCGTCCCTGTGCTATGGGCCATAGGACAATGATTAGTTGAAGTTTTTATATCTGAACTCGGATAACCAGATATGTATCTGCCTAGTAGTTGTTAATACATTTGGCAAGACAAATGCCATCCTACACCTTACTACCAGATATATCCAGCCTTGTTTCCATGTATGGGGTCACGTGACACTACACAGTAGCACCAATCGATGCAAGATGTCTAACTAACTAAAGTGTGCAAGTTTGGCGTGATAAGGATTTTTTTTGCCAAATTTATAGTAAATTATGTGTTTCAGTCTCACTTTCATGCATAAGATCACGTGACCTATGTAAATTAGCATAAATCAACAGGGAGGATCATGCCCAATCATGTGAGCAAGTTTGGTGTATTTTTGTCTGTTCTCAAAAAGTTATGAGGAATTATGTGGTTTAGCCTCGTTTTCACACTGGATTTTATGGGTCCGAATTTAAACCCCCCTTAAGAGCAATCTGAGCAAGTTGCAAAGCTGGCACCAAAACTTTTCATGTTTAGTAGGTCCTAAAGAACACTTTTACACTAGGTGCTTGCTTTCAGCACAAACTTCACACGGGACCACATTTGCCTCCCAGACTAGAGGCTAGGGTATGAAGGTACAGGCAAGGGTTAAATTTGATTCTTCACACCTCTTTACTTTTACTTCAATCAATTTACAGCAAATAAATATATGTACATACAAACATATAATCAAATAGCTGTTGGAAGACCTAGCAACAGGAATGAACTTCCCTAATGATAAAGGCCACCAGAAACTATATAATTATATGAAAATGAGAACAAATAAAGTATACATAATGACAGGCAGTATCATAAAATGAGTATGGTAAAATGTTACCTGTTAAAACTTAGTGCTAACTAAAATTAAATAAAAATTCCACTTCAAAGATGTTGAGATTGACCGATAACAAACATTTCTTCATTAGTTGAGGAAATTGGGTGTTGTTAAAATACAATATTCCTCACAGATAACTAAATTCTTTATCATTGCCTTTCAGCAATGTTAAAATTGAAGTGTTCCAAGCCTAAGAAAACGAACAAGGGTTGATATTCAGCATCGAAAATAACAATTTTTGTTGTATTATATCTGCATATTCACAAAGATCTGACAACATATGGGTTGCAGTTTGTTCTTTGCTGCTTAAAGTTCCTTACATAAAAGATGTCTCTTCACACTACGAGAACTCTTAAAGAGTTGGTGTTTGAGACCCATGTCTAAGTTTCCTTTACCCTCCTTATATTTTCTGGAACTCTCAATAGGCGACTTGATCAGTAGGTCAGCCAATCAGTTAGCCAGTCAGTTATTTATTCATTTATCCATTCATTCACAAGTCAGTCAGTGGGTTGCTCAGTAAACCAGTGAGTCAGTCAGTTGATCAGTGATGTCAATCAGTCAGTCAGTCTGTTCATCTATCAGTGACATCAGTTAATTAGTCAGTCAGTCAGTCTGTTCATCTATCAGTGACATCAGTTAATTAGTCAGTCAGTCAGTCCATCAGTTAATTAGTCAGTCAGTCAGTCCATCAGTTAATTAGTCAGTCAGTCAGTCCATCAGTTAATCAATCAGTCATTCAGTCAATCAATTAACCAGTCAGTCAGTCAGTCTGTTCATCAGACAGTGACATCAGTTAATCAATCCATCAGTCAGTCAATCAGTCAGTCAGTCCGTCCATCAGTTAATCCGCCAGGCAGTCAGTCCATCAGTTAATCAGCCAGGCAGTCAGTCCATCAGTTAATCACGNGTTCCAGGCAGTCAGTCCATCAGTTAATCAACCAGTCAGTCAGTCCATCAGTTAATCAACCAGGCAGTCAGTCCGTCAGTTAATCAGCCAGGCAGTCAGTCCGTCAGTTAATCAGCCAGGCAGTCAGTCCATCAGTTAATCAACCAGTCAGTCAGTCCATCAGTTAATCAACCAGGCAGTCAGTCCATCAGTTAATCAGCCAGGCAGTCAGTCCATCAATTAATCAGTCAGTCAGTCAATCAATCAGTCAGTCAGTCAGTCGGTTTGTCCATCAGCAATATCAGTTAATCAATCAATCAGTCAGTCAGTCAATCCGTTAGTCCATCAGTTATAAGTCAGTCAATCAATCAGTCAGCAAAATACCAATCATGAGATCAAATTGTTGGGACAAATTAATTAAAATGAAGGAATTGTATAATCACTGAGTGAAAATGATACACCATTTGCCTTTTTAAATTTCTTTTCTCCCTTTGAAGGTCAAGGATGTTTTCACACAAGCAACCGTTATCATTCATACAGCTGCAATAGTAGATATCAACCACCCATCTGCGGTGAAAATGCATGATGTTAATGTGCAAGGAACAGAAAACATAATCCAAGCCTGTTTGGAATGCAACGTGGGCAAGATGGTGTACACAAGTACTGCAGACGTTGTTCTTGGATGGTTGGATAACAACAATATAAATGAAGAAACGCCCCTTCCTGGTGAAAAAATCTCAGATTATCTTTTCAGCCAGTATGCATTTACTAAAATGCAGGCTGAGAAGAAAGTCTTGCAAGCTAATGGCAGTCTGACAGCAAATGGAACTTTTCTGGTTACATGTTCTTTAAGATCACTGGTAATGTATGGGGAAGGAGACAAGGTATTCCTTCCAAATGTTATTGATTCTGCCAAGAAGCAGTTTGGTTATTTACCCAGGATGGGAGATGGTAAAGCCAAGCTTAATCTATGTTACGTAGGAAATTCTGCCTGGGCTCATGTGCTTGCAGTTGATGTTTTGAGGAAAACACCTAAGAAAATTGCTGGTAAATCATTTTTTATTGGTGATAACACACCAGAAAGTAACTTTTTTGACTTTGTTGAACCTTACTTATCAGCTACTGGATGTGATTTGCTAAATGTTTCAATTCCGTTTGTGGTTATTTTTTACATTGCTTTTATTTTGGAGTGTATTGTATGGGTTTTGCATCCAATCTGTAACCTCTCTTTGGCTGTAACCAGGTCCTCTGTTGTCACTGTGTGTAAGGGTGTGACAGTAAGTTGGAGAGTTGCAAAGAAACAACTTGGTTATGAACCAATGTTTTCATATGAACAATCAAAGAATAACACCTTAAGATATCTCATAGAAAAGTATGTTACTTAAACTTGATTTTTAAAGCCTTTTTCTTGTAGAAGAGGACATTTTACTAATTCATTCGCAATGTTGAGAAACAAATTAATCTCATCATATGACCCCCACTTCCCTCTCATAATATGTACTTATTGACTGAGTGGGAGGGCCTGATGGGAACATATTTGGCTTGAGGTCATGACATACAGACCGAAAGCAGCAAGGTCTATGTCTCATGACCAAGAGCCAAAAATTGTCCCGTCCAACCCAACTAAACTCAGTCAATAAGCATTTTATCATATGACCACTAAGTGTGGAAAATTTCAACCTAAATAGGACATGACAGAAGGGCACATGCAGCAACACAAGCACAAATTCTGAATTAAAACTTGTATTCTTCCAAGTCAGAACAAGAAACTCCCAATTCCTTAAAAATGCATGTGTTTATCTCATTTCTGTTTTTTGCAACAAAGCAACGTAAGGGCACCAAGGCTGGACAGCTTTTTCCGCACCGGCTCACGTCAGCTTGTCCAGCTATGGTTTTCTGTGGGGTCACACAAGCGGGGCAGTAGGGGTCATGTGATAATTTGCTTTTATTCAAAAGCATTACTGAAAAATTCTTAGTATGAGGGCCATAAGCAATGGTAGGAGCAGGGTCCATAAGGCACAGAGGCTACTCAAACAATTACTGCAAAAAAGTGTTTTTTTTTCAAGATGGCCTGTAGCAGATAAATGCAGTGTGTTTGATGTTAAGAGATAGTATGTCAAATAAACTAGAATTCCCTTTAAGAAACTTGCCTATTGTCAGTAAGATAGGCCTCTTTAGAACCAGTACCAAATGGTTCTTTTAGAGATGGCTTGACACAAAGGGGAAGAAGTCTTAGAAATAAGTTTAAAAACTCATCTGGTTGGTGCAGACTGATAATTTGGGGTAAGTGGCTAACATAGGTGTCTATTCAAAGAGCATTGACAAATGAATTGAAAAAAACTGGCAACAAGTGTGTCACTCTATGTTGTCAAACTTAAGTTCACAGCCAATACACCCCAACTGAGATTTAACTGCTGAAGTGAGGGCCTTCCTAATAGGAAAGGAAGGCTGTCTTAAAAAGACTGTTCAAAAACCTATTCCACCCGTTTTGCATGTTATTTCTTAGTAAAGTAAAGTAAAGTCTGTTTATGAGCTTAGTGGCCCATTAGGCTGGTGCTTAACTCCGGTTTCTGTAGCATGAAGCGACTAGGAGTCTACTCCCCCCTGGATGGGATGCAGGGTTACCCCCAGCATTAAATTGCCGGTACCCATTTATACACCTGGGTGAAGAGAGGCACTGTGAGTGAGGGCCTTCCTAATAGGAAAGGAAGGCTATCTTAAAAAAGACTGTTCAAAAACCTATTCCACCCGTTTTGCATGTTATTTCTTACCAAGACAAAACAACTGTTGAAGCACTTCAATGTCAAGGTTTTCTGCCTCTCTCCCTTCCACAACTGATGTCCTTCTACATTTGCTTTCTCAAAATTCAAAACAGAGCTTCCAGTCACTCTTTTTAAGTCTTTAGTTTTGTTACTGAAGTCATGCTTATTTGCGTTCAGATATTTATTTAAAATGTCCACATCTCTATGGAAGTAAAAAACTAATATCACCAGCCACGGGCACTAGTTATGGTATTGTTTTTTATTTTCTGTTTCTCTTCTTATATGCTAAAACGCTTGTCATTGATACTTCCAGCAACTTGTACGACTGTCAGTTACATTTGAAAACCCAAGAAAAAAACCAACCTCCTCTATAATATGTTTTGTGGCTTTGAGCCAGAAACTGTCAACTATTACACTCCAATTGTGCCACAGATTCATAAACAAGAGATTCAGCCTAAAAAAAATGCATAGATCTCTAAAATTAGTCTTTAATAATAATTATTGTACCATGATGTAGACCAAACACTGTTAAATGGTCAATCTCAAATTATAGCGTTATTAAGTCCATAAGGGTAAAGCTCACATATATCAAACAACTTTCCAAGAAACACTACTGAATCCAGTTAGATCAGTCATTTTAAGTTAAAACAGGTTTGTTTGGATGCTGATCATTTCACCAACACCTTACCTGTCCAACAATTAACTCGCTGATAACATCCTTCATTATTATTTACTGAAGGATCTAAAGTTCTTTAAATCACGACAGGGCTCGAGTGAACGAGTTACGCATAAACTTCACTGAGCGGGTCGAAAGAGGATGTCGTCGGAGAAAAAACCCGATATGTGGGCGAGTTGGCAAATGATAACGAGTTTGCTTTCACCGAAGTCAGAGGGTGATATTTTATTTACACTATGACCAAACTACTAGCCTGATGGCGTTGGGTGGCTCCTTTTCTTTCCTCATCCATCCTGACCTTGACTATTACAGAGGTCACGTTGATTTGCTGGACAACGAGCAACACTACATCTAGTGTTGGATCTGTGACTTATTTTCTATCCTTTCCTGCTTTTTTCACACGTTTCTGGCTTTGCAGTAAATTTTTCCAACGCTTGTCTGCCAGTGAGTTGCATTGGTCACGTTGTTGGCGACTTTTAAGCAAAAGTTGTAGTGTCGTCTCTCTTTACATTTTGTGTCATGAATCTCAGACGAATCTGCAAGGACTGGCGAAGCTGAGGAATGATCTTCAGTACTTCATCCTTAATCACATCTCCTATAAACATGTACTTAATGTGGTACCTGAGAGATATAGTTAAGAAACTCAAAATACGCAAAGTTCTCTTCATTCTGGAGATCTGACGGGAATTTCAGAAGAAATAGTAACACTTTTTAAGTCAAAGTATGAACAGAGCGATCTCGACGAAAGCGAAGACAATGCTACCTTTTATTACATCCATTTTGAAATCACTGGTGGTCCCTGTAATCTGATTGGCTTTCATTGTTGCGATTTATTCTAGAATCGCGCCATTTTCTGCTCTAAATCGCATCGTTTTACGCTTGACTGAGTTTTTGACACATGACGTCAAAGCCTTTCTGTTTTGTGCAAAATCAGATGTAAAAGCGTTTCCGGTTCCGCTTTCTATTTAAAAACCGGCTCGGTACTGTAAAATATTTGAATTGACCAAGTCTTGTATTTGGGCGACTTCAAAACGGATGTAATAAAGTGGTAATTGAACCTCGTGTCGTGCAATTTTGGTCTGAAATCATACTTACTTTCTCGTTCGATTTTGAAATGACGCGTATGATTTCAGCCCAAATTGCACTCCACACGGTTCAATTACCATTATAAATCACCCGACCTTTATGGCAAACTGCTTTATCTTTCTCCTATTAATTTTAACAAACGCGATATCAAACATTTGAGGTAAGAGGTAATTTGGTTTTATCATCTGAGTTGATAATGTAGATTGGCTACAATAGAGATTTCCTAGAACTGACGCTTTGAGCGTTAGCCCTTCGTCTGAGCAAATTGTTTACTCTGACGAAAAAAACAAATCAGCTTGTTATACTCGCCACCGACGCATCACCAGATTTACTTTAGAAACTTACCCCCTTAATTCATTTGAAAAAGAAGTTTTACGAACTTCTTTGACAATCTCCACGAGTATAATAATTCTTACAAATTTACCACAAATCTATCGATAACATTCATATAGGGTAGGATACAAGAAGTCACAAATTGTGTCAACGTGGTGTATATGTTGAACTTCTCTGTTAATTTTTTCCAGCAGATGATACAGCACCACAACAATCTACAACATTAAGATGAAATAATTAGCTGTGCAGTTCGGACATGTACACGATTAGAATAAATTTCAATTGAGTTCCGAAAATAATACAAGACCGCACTAAGTTCACTTTCCTACGCTTTATGATTGTCCTTTTAAAAAAACCTTCCTACATTCTCCGGGAATGTGAATGAGTCTCAGACCTCTGGCACTCCTAGACTTGCGTCAACAGTGTTGTATATCTGCAGATTACCTGCAGGTGCTGCATTTGGAAAAAAAGCGCGTCCTAATTTCGTGCCCAGATCCTACCGTTTAACTGTAACAAAACTTGGCTATGGAAGGTCTGGGTACGACACCACGTGCTTCCCTCAGTTCATGACACAGCGCATACAAAGAGGGCCTGCTCGTAAGCTCTTTGGAATCTCGCCCTTGGAAGTTAATCAAGTGTGTTAACTTCCACCTATGATTGGCTCGTGATGGTTCACTTTGTTCCCATCATCCCTTATAATTATTTTGGCTGGCTCTTCACAACAGTTCGATTTGCCTTCGCTAAAACCGTTAACCGAGATTTGTCTTAACGTGGACGCCAAAATATCGAGCCGTCGCTGTTTTTGAAACGAAATCAACTGTTTTAAAGCTGACTAAAAAGGAAAGAGTGATGACGAGAAAACACAGACGACACATGGCGGACTGGGACCCACTATGCAAAAATCGCAGCGACAAGTCAATGCGAAAAGTTGCTTCGCGTAATATGCTTCCAAAACAAGTTTGCATTCATGCCACTGATCGAAGCGACTTAATTCTGCTGCAGAGACAAAGATTTTCACAAAAATCATTCATGTCAAACGAGGCGAACGTGTCGCAGTGACTTGCCGCTAAGAGTGTTCCCCTCTTAATACCTCCTGTACACATCTTGGTCTTTCTTGGATTAAACGTTGAAGAAATGGTCCAACCAGATGACAGACGTAGAGAAACTGAGCCTCGTTTGTGACCAGCGGTGAAACGCGGTCACGAAGAAACCTATGAAGATCAAAGGGCAAGAGTTAAAAACTAACAAGGGGGGCTGAATAGATTGAAACTCAGGTCTGAGAAGGTAACGCAGTACACCTCTGCTTAGGAGGTCCATCAATATTTAAAACAACACCTTGCTCTCGTGCTTGGGTTTCGCCTTACCTTTATTCGTATGCAGCCGCTTATAACAGCATCGACAGCCGCTTAATGCGTAATCTCGTTTGAGTTTGCGACACTAAAGTGCGTTACAGATGAGTAACTGTAGGGATCTGAAATCATGCTTTGTAACTAAAGAAAAACGTCTCTGCTGGCCAATATGTTGGCCAATACGTTCTTAATATTGAAATAAGTGGGAATACACGTACACTTATGGGTGAAATGTGTGAAAGCGATCCTCGCAGTAACAAAATTATGTAGTAGTGGAAATACGGCTTGAAAAAAATTCAGCCCCGTACGGGATTTGAACTCATGACCTCAGCGATACCGGTACAGTGATCGACCAACTGAGCTAACAAGCCAAGTGAGAGCTGGTCCTTATGTTGGTTCGTATCAAACCCGTCGAAGTGATAATTCAAATTTCAGGGTGAAAGTATCAGTGGCAAAATATAGGATACATTTGGACACAGACAATTAAGATGCACGTACTGAGGAAGCTGGCTTAGTTGACCGATACTTGCATGGTGCCAGACGGCATGGACGACTGCCAACACATAATCAGCGGTAGTCTCTGAATGCATAGCGACATTGGTAGAGAACTCTAAGAATGAGTAGGGGAATGGGGCGGCTCTCCCAAGGTTCTCGAGAACGATAGGAGTTGTCGATACTTCCTTGGCAGAGAGCTCTCTCCTGAGAGCCATACAGATTTTATCGTACACCACACTCCAGTACGGCTCCTGATGATTGAATAACAGATATCAACAAAAGGAACAGAAGATAGTCCTTATAGGGGGCTCCAGTAAATAATTTTAACGTGACAGTGACACAAACAAGATCCTCAGATAGGCCTTTATAGATTATGCTTTGCTTGTATTTACGAATATTTATACAGGGTAGCCCATTTCAGCTAATGGCTGGTTTAAATAGGGCCCTGTCATACCCACCCATCCCACCCCAGGGGAGGACATCCACCACACAGTAATCTCGTGCGTGGGAAATTAACGTCTCCTACCCCTAACCCTGCAGGAGACGGGGCCTACGGTTTATTCGTCCTTATCCGAGAAGACTAGAATATCTATCGATTTCTTGATATTATGGAAAGGTACGTAATTCTCCTCAGTTATTTTAAGACCATGAGTATTGGTCCGGCCGGGGCATAATTTTTTGGCATAATTTGAGCAAACTGGCATAATTTCTGCCAAGTAGCAATGCTAGCATAATTCGCATATTTTGATAATTATCGGATCATTTTTTATGCTACAATTTGATCATTGTTCATCTCTACTCCCAAGCACTTAGTGACGTTCAGTTCGATGTTTTAAGTTTTAGTTCAAGTAATAGCATTTGTAGTTCACTGTGAATCACTGAGCGGCGTCTGAAACGGTCTGAGCCCGGGTTAACATGAACCACATGTTTATTTGAATTTCATTGTGGATTTGTTGCGTTTCTTTCTTGTAGACCAACGTTAAGTGCTAAGTGCTACCCTCTTTAAATAAAGGCTTTCATTCATTCATTCAACGGCTTCTAATTAAAAAATGTATTTCTTGGACTTAATTGATATTTTTTCAAAGAGCATAATTTTAAAAAAAGGGGCATAATTTGGATAAAAGAGCATAATTTTAGCATAACTTCGCCAAAAAAAAGCAGTGCTACTAGCATAATATGCTACTTTTACCAGCATAATCTATATAGGCCTATCCTCAGACCCTCCCCACCCACCCCCCTGGCGATACCTTCGATTAACAATTTGTAATCTTCTTTCGCTCACTGGCCGAGTGGGGCGAATTAAATTGAAGCCCTGTTCGCATTCCTTAATAAAGCACTGATCAAAAAGTAAGCTTCTTCAAACCTTCAACTGTGGATAAAACAAACTGCAAGAAAGAAACATTAGATCTGTACTATGAGGTGACGGTACAATCTCGTGACTGGGAGTATCGCCACACCCACTTCACAAGAAGGATTGCTAGTCTATAGTAGGTAGCAGTTCCTAATGTAATTCGCATTTCCGAAAAAGTTTGCTGGCTCACATTTATACCCCTGTGTGGTTAGCAGCAATACATAAGTAAAGCGATCTCCCGAAAAACACAACACACGGCGCCATAGCTTCCAAGCGGAAGTGGCAGTCAGAACGTACCGGAAGTGCGGACAAAACTAATCCTACAGCATTGATCCACTCCATAATATTTGTTCGAATGTCACTATCATGCGTCACATAGCTTCCTTTAAAGATGACGTCAAACAACGCGTTGCCAACGTCCGGTCCCTTAACAGGTAACGCCATCAGTTCCACCCAAGTCACGTGAAGTGCATGCGCAACAGGATTGGAAAATTCGTTGAAACGCCAATCGCAAGCTGGAAATGGGGGCGGGGTTTTACCAGCAATGGCTTTCCAGTTGTTAAGTTATAATATCGTATGTTTTAAAATAACTTACAGTACGTATAAAGAAATCGTGACATTGGCCATGAAAACCAAGCTAATGTCGGGTAAAATTCTCTCCTTAATCTTGTTTGAATCAACTGAGTTGATAATGTTAATTGGGAACTGTATAGAGTTTCTAAAGCTGACGTTTCAAGCGTTAGCCCTCGGTGATAGTTACGTAGAAAGAGCCACAAGTGGAGGTTGCAACGTGGTGCATCCTTTTTCGATTGAGCGAAAGGGTTAGACATTAAATTTTTACTGCAAGTCTTTATTTTGTTTTTTTTGTTTCCCCATTCCCGTTCTGCTTCAACAATGGTTGACATTAAAAAATGCAACTTAAGGAGAGACAGTTTACATTATCAGCTAAGTTGATAAGACCAAATTATATTTATCTTATCTTTATAACCCACCATTAACTTTCACGCGACTCTATTGGCCACATTACGCCACGTGGTTCAAAATCAACCCACAGTTATTTCACGATAACCCCCATTTACATCGAAAGTTGTCCTCCGTTTTTTCCGTTAAGAAGATACAAAGACAGCGAAAAAAGCCAGCTCAAAAGTTTCACTTTTCTGTCTTTAATCCTTTACGTAAACGAAAAACGAACTCGTCTTGTAGAGTCCACTGGTAGTGAACTTAAAGAGCTGATCTCAGATGTGGCTCCGGAAAGTACAAAAAAGTCGACCAGATTTGCTTTCCACGCGCGAAACGAAAATTAATGGGAGGGTCATAAAATAAATAAACCCACTTCTGGTTTGCTAGTATATCGGCTGATAACATCCTTGGCTGAGAAACTGTCCTCAAAATTTCACATTTGCCCCCGAAGCTTCGCTTCTTGGCCAAATATTCATTTTTTTGACAATATCTCAGTCGCAGAAACTATCAGTCGCAGAAACTATCAGCCGACATACCAGTCGCTTGAAGATGTCTATTTACTACATAACCCCCACCGGCGCGGCACCACAATTTCTTTCGAAACTTGTCCCCTCTAAGTCTCATCTTGTTTAATTTAACGAAAAGGCCATTTGAAATGAGGTCAAATGACCAATTAATTCCAAACAAAAAGGATACTGTCCACAAGTCTGCCAATCAAAGAGCAATAGTAGGTGAGATCTGGGGTCCAGGAGTCTTCAGGTTTAGACAAGAACTCCAAGTAACCTCTGGACAGACACCTAAGGATATACAACACCCTTTACTTCTTTGATAATTATCTGCTTTCCTTGATGTTTTCTACTCTCGTCGCTTAACTCATATTGACAAATTATTGATCATGACAAAGAAAATAACAACTTGATTACTTTGTCTAAGCACTCGGTAAAAAAGAACCCACCAAGTCGTTTGGGACGTATAGATTTCTCAGTCGCGTGAGCAAATGCAACTTTCTTTGGCTACTTTCCCGTCAGACAAGAAACCTTATGTAAGACTGGCACCGAGTATTGTAGGGGTGGCTACCAAGACTAGGTGCGGTGGTCAAGCGTGAGTTCAGTTAACAATGTGTAGTTGCGAGTGGCAGTTTTGTCCGTATTAAAACCCCGTTTCTTTTTAGAGGTTTTTTCCTCTCGTTCTTTAAACTTAGGCAATGAACCATTCCATAAGGAACCTAAAAAAAGCATTAGTTTGTTCTAGGAATTTAGTTCGTACAACTGAGCAAAATAGTAAACGGTGTAATAGTAACGGAGAAGAGAAATAGTAAACAGCGCGGTAGCAATGGCTGAACAAAGGAAAGCGAGAGACTCGGGTCTGGTCGCGTAAACGAGGCAGGTTTTGGTCGTTTTCCTCATTAATGCGACCCGACACCTGTCTCCCGCTTTTTTGTTCGTTCCGTTGCAACTATCATGCCGTTAATTATTTCGCTCCGTTTTAAGAACTGGAACAGACTAGAAAAGTATCCAAATGTTAAACCACTTCAGATTATTTCAATTCCGAATGAAGCTCAGGTTGTTTGCAAAAAGTTAGACACAACGGTGTAATACTCACCAGCCTTCCGGATGGACGTCTTTTTGAGCACCTGTTAAATATCGATGAAAACAGAATTACACGTTTCTACAATTTTTATACTCTTGGACAGCCATCTCTTCCGTGAAGTGACAGTTACGCAAAAAGAGCCTCAAGTGGAGATTGCAATATACGAGATTCTTTTAAGTGCAATTCTTGATTTTTTTCGTCTTCCCTTTCCCGTTTTGCTTCGATATTGTTCTACATATTTTCCACCGAAATTCTCCGCATCTAAAGCGTGTCCTTAAATCGAATTCACACCGATGTTTGAAATTCGTTTTTAAAGGGTAGTGTGGTCTCCGTTCAATCTCAACTTCAAACTCCTCTTCTTTGATGGCTTAAGATTGGCAGTGCTTCTCTCGTTAAAGATCAGCCAACGTGGCTGACGTATGAAAAGGGGTGGGTGAAGGGAAGGTTTCTCGCACTTAAATTGGTGAATGATTCATAGAAGAAGTGCAATATCATTAACTGATTGCTAACACAAAACGCGCCCTTGTCAGATCACAATCTCTTTCAAGACCTTTCCTCCTTCCAACCCCAGTGATATAAAAGCGCGGGAAAACGCGTCTGACCAAGTCGCGATTACATTGGTTTTGGTATGATCTGATTGGTTGAGAAGGCGGCGCCACGTGTTTCTAAACCAGTTACAAATTTAGTGAAGCAAGCCAAAGGAATTCCATGCCCGTGATTTGAAAAGAGCCCTATTTTCACTAGCTTGACTGACGCATCATTCTGGGGGCCTGCAGAGACTTATCTTGACCCCACCTCCATCCTCAGCAAAGTACTAGCTACCGAGGGCATAGCTTCAGTTTGTGGGCAAGGAAAAAACTCACTAGTAATCGCCCCAACAAGCTTCTTCTTCAGAGCAGCTTTGTCTCGAAGGCAGTGTTCGTAATAGTGTAGTGTGTTGTACAGGTAGGTCACAGGACGATCTGTTGAATAAAACACCAAACAAGTAACACAGAATATCAAGTTTCAACAAACTGTTTAAATCTCGACTCCTACGACTTAAAACTTCCACATACTCAAAGAGAATTATATTTTTCTTGGGGTCAATCAATTTGTATTTTTACCCTTAATAGTATGGTCTCTTTTCATTCGAGTCTCTTTTGTTCAACCCTACCACGCACTGTTTTCTTTTGCCTACGGAAAACTAACAATTACAAAACTTATCGCGACAATCGACCCAATTAACAAAATAATAACTTATTGAGCTACAATATCAGACCGTAAACATAGACTAGTGTCTGTACCAGAACAACTACTTCTTCGAGTCTGTATAAACCAATGAAGTATTTCAAAGAAGAGAAGGCAGTTAAAAACTTTAAAACAAGTAACAATTTTCTACTTTGTACAGTATAATTCACTTTTTGCCATAGACGGAATTGTCGCTGGCTGACTCAGTTCGCAACTGGGCGTATTTCATCTGAGAGCCATAAAACCAAAACAATTGAAATTAATGAGAACTCAAAGTAAAAACAAGCAACGATGGGAGGCGAGGCAAAAAGCTTCCTGATTGTTTCAATCTTCATAAATTGCCGAGTTTCAGCCGAAAACGGTTGCTGAGTGGTACTGATGAGAAGCTTCAAAAAACAAAAAGTTACTTCAACTAACCATGGAATTTGTACAGGCACCCAAGGTGATCAAGAAGACTTTCCAGGGACTTGTGCACTGGTGCAAGTTCCAGAAAACGTTGAATGACAATGTCAAAAACCTAAATCCAGAGGACAATTGAAATGACATGGAAATCTATAAGTAAGCTAAGTACTAACATAATAATCAGTCGTCATTTGATTACTTTGTTAGTATCCCGCGCCCTTTCAATTTTCTCTATCATTTGATTGCTACGTTAATATTACGCACTCTTGTAGTTTTCTCTGTCATTTGATTGTTACGTTAGTATCTCGCGCACTTGTAGTTTTCTCAGTCATTTAATTTTTACGTTAGTATCTCGCGCACTTGTAGATTTCTCAGTCATTTAATTTTTACGTTAGTATCTCGCGCACTTGTAG